GAATCAAAGAGGTGCACGTGCGTCGGATTAATACTATTATTGGCATCAAAAATGTTTAAAAAATCGCCTCGCTTCAAGCACCCAAATTATTAACGTCGCTCTCCTGACATTAAGGCTTGGATTCGCGTCATGTTACTTTTTTTGTTAACAGACACACAAAATCCAGATAATTTATAATAGATTTACAGTCAGCTGACTATGCAGTGAATGCTACAGATTAAGAACGAACTTCTTTTGTTCTTTCGTAAGTAAGATTTTATTATGAAAAGAACCCATACATTTTATAGTCGAGTAGATATTGTCTTTTTAATTACAAATAAACTATAAATAATTTGCAATGTCAAAATGCAGGTCATTTGTATAGCAAGACGATTAGTACAAGAGTCACAGTTTCGCTGACTGTTCTGTCTAGATTCGACTATGAAAAAAACACTGTAGGATACTACAATCCACAATTTAGTCCAGACATTATTGTAGATAACAGTAGTACACCTAACAACCCATGAAATCCGATAAAAACGTTGATTTGCTAATCTTAACATCAATTTTCTCATTAACTTTTTCAATACGTTTAAATCTTTTATAGAAATGTAAGTTAAAAGAAACATTTCAGATTTCTATCTTGTTAATTTAACCCCATCAAAAGTGTGTAATACCATTAAATTGAGTCAATTTTATCAAGTTTTATATTTTTAAAATATAATTATGAATTTTGTGGAGTGACTAAAAAATTATCTGTATTTCACTTGTCAAAGGAAAATATTATTTTATTAATAAGAAAACTTCAAGAAACACAATAGTTTTGAAAATACAAGGCTAAATGTCAGTTTTTCTAACAAAGAAAAATGTAATTTTCCACATAGTATTTTATTAAATTATATTAAATTTGATTATTGTTACCAATTTTACTTTGAACTGTAACTGATAACGGTTGACACTTGTAAAATTTCAATAAAATTAGGATGTATTTTTATATGTTTTGTTACTAATTCAGATATGATCTAAATTTCATGTAAAATTCAATTATATATAATATTGTTTTATTTTGATATTTCAGTAGACCAGATTTTAGGAATTTTGATTAGGGACCTATGTACTGATTTTTTATATAGATCTACGGGAAACAAATTCATCAGAACTATAACTGATTGATATGTTCAATCATGCACTGGTGTCTAACTACACAATTTCACAAAAGGTTTCATCTCTGGTCGTCATCACCTGAAAAAAACTTTAAAGTTTCATTAATTCTGACATCACGATCAATCCTTACTAAGTGTAAATTCAGAAATAATTCATTTCTAGTACAATGTATATATATTCCAAAGTAGCTTTTAAGTGACAATCTGCCTAAGAATAAGGCAATGGTGAAAACATGTAAAACAAAAACCCAATCAAGTTGATATTACTTTATGTTCAAAATATATAATGGTTCAAGAATATAACATTCGTTTCCTTTTCCTGTTCTAGTAATTCAAGATATAATTTGGTTGAAATGCACTAGAAATTAACAATTAAGGGGAGCTTACTCCATAATTTGCTATCATTCTAACCAAAAGTTATCTAGAGATTTCTCGAATTACCAAGCACGCAGAAATGAAAGACCAACCATTTCTAATTTAGAATGAGGGTGTCTTCAAAATAGGATTGTTAGGTCGGTGGGTTTTTTTCGGCCACGTTTTGATTTTTTTCAAAATTGCCTGATTCTTACAAAGACAGGCACTTAATATATAAAAGAATAAGAAGATGTGGCATTTTTGCCAACGAGACATCAGATTCAATTGTTCTGTCAACCAGAATCCAAACGAACCCGAAGGTTTGATGGCAAGTGATAATTGAAGAAACAATAAAAGCGTGGCAAATATTAAAATTAAAACTTGCAATATTGAGCAAACTGATGCTAACTTTTTAAGACCATCACATCTTTAGCAAAACGCGCCATTTCTTGTAGATTTTCTAAAATCAAAGCCCCATCACACTAAACCAAGACCATGAAGATCCCACTACGATCTATAAAAAAAATAAGATATATATAGCGGCGAGATCGTAGTATGGTCTGCTTGAATATTCAATATTTCATAGTCTTCACGTTCATACCACGACCTTGCTATGACCCTGATAAGATCCTGCTACGAATAGTAACACGTTCTAGTTAAGATCTTGTCACGCTAGATTGCTATGTTTATAATAAGACCTTATTGCGACTTATATACGATCGCTGCACGCTTCTACCAAGACCTTCCCGATCGCAATACGATCTCAATACGAGTCTTCTACGATCGAACCACGACTCCACTACGTTTTCACTGCGCTCTTCGTCCCTATTAATATCTTGACTTTTACACACCTGTTTCCTTGAGAAAACATGCCGCCAAATGTATTAACAACACTTTGAGGTTGTGGTGCTAAAAGTGGAGGTAGGGGTAGAGGACGGGGTCAGTCCTTTAATTTAATCCAAAATATAATAAATATGAAGGTTTCGGATGAAGAGTCTAATGTTGCAGATGAACCCGCAGCCCCAGTCCCCACCATAGAATCACAGATTGATGTGAGGGCTGTTGAAAGTGGAGAAGTTTTGCTCATGTGTGTCCATAGTTGAACTACAGATAGAAGTTGTTGCATCCGTTTTTTTTATATCAGCAGAATGAAGTCGTGCAGTTATCGTGGCTAGGATGTAGTAGTATCGTGGTAATGTCGTACTAAGAACGACAAGTGCGTAGTAGCAGCGTACTATTGTCTTCAACATTGTAGTATAATCGTATCAATATCGTAGTAGAAGCGTAATAAAGACGTAGTGAAATCGGGATAGTCGCAGTGAAATTGTAGTAAGGTCGCAGCGAATCTTTTCCATTTGCTTCCGGATTATACATCGTTTCAAATGCGATGCTTCTACGACCATCCCGACCTTATTACGTCCTTACTACGACCTTCCTACGCTTCTACTACGACTAGTTTGGCCACGAATGCACTATGAATGTTTTTAGCATGTTCAAAGTTGGAAGTGGACCTCCACAATCATGAAGACCTTTGCACGTCCTTACTACGATTTTACAACGTCCACCACGATCTTACTACGACTTCAAATTTTTCATAACTTGTGAGGTCGTAGCGGGATCGTGGTCCTAGTGTGATGGGGGTATTAGCATTCAATACGGTGCTTTGAGGATATGCCGTATGGCCAATTCGTTTAAGTGCTGATTTTCTGTCATAGATGTACGGTTAAGGTTTGCAATTGAACTTTGCCTCGCAATTTATAGAAATTTTCTGCGCATGTTGAATCAAAACGAAAAAAAAAGTTAATAACAGGCCTCATGATCATATCAGTGCTCTAAAGAGACTGGACAGGCTTATGCGCTTGATCTTTTGTTTAAAATATGAACTTGGCGAAGGATCAAACAAATTTGTCAGTTTTAACATAAACTAAGTAAATTTCTTGGACTGATATTGTTTTAAGATGGGTTCGAAAACCCTCTCTATAAAAAGTGATTTTCCACAAACCAGTGATAGAAGAAAACACTAATCGGGGATTTAGAATAATTTTGTAGCTCTTCACAATGAGTATGAATAATGCGAATAGCACGAGTCTGCTGCATAAGGTGGAAGTTGTTAATACGATGACGCGATGACGTTTCTTTTTCTTTCGTCTGTTCATTTTTTTTTATTTTACCGAGGCAGCTGACTCGGTTACATGAATAGAAGATATATCAATAATCCGCACTTGAGTCTTAGAACATAAACTATCACATCTAATCTGATTAAAATTCTGATTAAAATTCTGATCCATATTAACTCGCGTGCTCGTATATGATCTGAGAGGAATCCATAAAAGGTTTCACTTTCAGAGGTCTATATTTTAATTAGATTGTATCCCATCACAAATAGCTGTGACAACTAGTACGGCTTTTTTTTGTATTTTTTATAGGCGCCAATCAAATTTATATTACAGGACAAGGACAACACGATTACTCAGACTAAGACTTTCACTACACGATACACCTTTTAGTTGTACACATAACGGTCATCCCGAATGGTTTGTTTGTGTCTTCCACCGAAAGTACACTGGGATCGCAAATTTTCCGTCCAAGTTTTGCTTATGTTGGATACAACTACCCAGCAAAGGGCGTCTGTTTGGCAGTTTGAGGGATGCATAAATACACAACCATGTCCGATAGGAATATGGGTGTTAAATCCGGTTCATCCTGTAGGGAGAGTTTCATCCATTCTGCATTCTAAACACCCTTGAAAAAATTCATTAGTGGTCGGTAGGTTGACTGTTGACATTTTTGCTCTATCCATCCCTCATCCCTTATTTTAGTAACAGTCCACAAAATTCTCGACCTTCTTTCCGGTCGACCAACTCTGCAGACCTAAATGTGCCTAGTTTAGTTATTGTTAATTTGTTAGTTAGTCCTGAGTATATTAAGTGAAATATTTTTCACTAGACGTTCAGCAAATAACAATGACTTGTTTGTGTCTTTGAATTTCGTCCACCTTTTTATGACAAGTAATTGGGAAATTCTTATTGACCCTGGGGATTACATCAGTCAGAAAAAATAAGAAATTGTGTTTTTTGCATTTAAAATTTGTCTTCCTTGATAAAAATACAGACGCTTGACTATTTTCTATTTTACAGGTATTTTTAGTAAACTTTTTTATTCGAGCTTTAAAACTCTTTTCGATTTACCCAACGAGTTCTTTCTTATACAAGCGCATGCTTACAAATGTTGCGGTTAAATATTAGACCTTGTGGTATATACATGAACGCAGCCATCCTCTTCTCATACAGTTTCCACAAGGCCTGAATGTTCGACCGTCTAAATACAGCTGTTGGTTGTACTGTTGATGATTATGCTGATGCTGTAATTGTGTTTAACGTGCATGCAGTGGCAAATATTACATGCATATCAGGAGGAAAACATTGTTCTTAATCATATTCTGAACCTTTTCAAATGGAAGTTTGTCTGCAGTCTCTAGGTATATGTTAAAATCTGAGATTGAAATTTAGTATAAACAGTATTTATTAATGAAAAATTACAACAATAAAGTATTACAATGTTACATGAAATTCAAATATGGGATTCGGAAACAAGTTTTGAAAAACTTTTATAAATCCGTCTCCTAGATTAAAATTTCTGACCCATACGTCATTAAAGGTGAAATTAACGAGTCAAAAAGTATCACTAATTTTCCACTGCAATAGTTAGAATATTGTAATTTTGTTTTCACGGAAAATGAGGGGCCTGATGGGTTATTTTCGTTCTTCGTGATCGGTGCATTTTCGCTATCGTGATCCGTTTTTCTACAGATTTTTTTTTTTATATTTTCGTGATCCGTGATCATGGAAATTTATTTTCTGTGAATCGTGATTGACAAAAAAATCAACTCGTGAATCGGGATGAGACCCCCCCCCCCCCATCAGGCCCCTCGAAAATATGTCTTATGTTCTTTATCAGCAAGATTTCAACTGCTATAATTAGTTTACCTTTATTGTTGACAACAATACCTAGATATTTATATTATGTAGCAGATTCTAATGGTTGTGGACCAAAATAAAAACAACGTCAGTCTTTGAGAGATATATTTTTACTTTATAAGGAAAAATCCTAGTCTTAGTTTTCTTGGTGTTTAATCACCACACAAGGACTGTATAAAGGAGATATTACTTTTTAAAAATTGAAACAAACATGTGTAACCCGAAGGTCTGATGCCATATTTTCTGACAATGTACATTATTGTTTTATCTTGCAATTTAACCTTGAAGCCTTTACAATAAAAAATGGATTCAAGACCGCTGTTATTTTTTTGTTGTTGTTAAAAATCGACCTGGATTAAACGAGGACTGCGAAGAGGACCCAAAAATGAACTGTGAAGTAGAGATTAATTTTATCATGACCGTTCGCTCAACAAAGAAGTAGGATTACTGGAGACTTTATTTGATCAAGCAAAGAAAAATAATGTGTATAATATTTATCAAATGTAACTTTTTAGACCATACAATTGTATGTGCAGTGTTTGTATTTTCAAACACCAATTGAAAAGCTCATACGATGATAGAAAAATTAGGGAAAAAATAAAAGACTACCGATATCAGAATAGTGTATCAAAACCACCATTATAAGTCTATACAAATCAACTGTTTCTCCCTAAATATTTCTTTGTTTTATAGTACAACATGCCTTTTGGTTGGTAGGAAATTTAAATCTTCTCAAAATGCAGAACAAAGAGCGACAACTATAATTTGGCAAAAAAATTATCAACTTGTAAAAATCGTTATCTAAGCATGAATAAACGAAAATGTATGATTTACGTTAGAGCGACAGCAATCTAACAAAATTAAAATGACATAAACAATAAATCGGTAAGAGAAATCAGTTCGGTTCAATTTTGTCAAAATATTGGCACATTTATTTATTTATTTATCGACTTATAAGACAATAATTCGACCTCATTTGGAACTGTATGCACGCGACTTATGATTTGACTCAGTTATAGATCGATTGCACATGACCTCAGGGGGAAAGTGAAACTAGGGAAGCCATTATAAAGACTAATTTCATTGACCGATTCAGCCCGCAAAACAAAAACATTCATATAAAGGGAAAACGATGATTTACATATTTTTTTCAACTTTGCCATAAAATCATAAAGAACTAGGAAAACACCTGTACCTGCTTTGTACGACTTAGTAAAACCAATACTGCTAATACTTACAACGGTTTGGTCATTTGAAATACCTTAAAACAATTTAATGATGCAGTGCAGGATTCACAAAGTGTGGGGTACATGCATATTGATATTCTTTTGACAAGGTTTTACTATGACGAAGTTTACATAGGAAATCCTGACGACGCCCCCATCAAAAACTTAGGGTGATCTAAGGTGCTCGTGGAGGGTACGCAGATCCTTCTCCACATGCATGTGACACCCGTCATGATACTCCCATAAAATAAATTGATAAGTTATATTAAGTGATAAGGCAGCACACAATAGCGGATCGGAATGTATAATTAACTCCTTGTAAAATAATTTTCGTAAAAACTGAACGTAAATGTCTTTATGCATTTGTGCTGAATATCTTCTACCCAGAGAAATCCAAAGTCATCAACCGACATAACGCCTGGCAATCCATGTCCGGTACTTTTACTACAAGTGAGAACCCCTTTGAAATGACCTTGAGGATCAAGTACATGTACATATCCTTCTTGGTAGTCAGACACCAAGAAATGTCCATTTCCATGACAACAGATGGCTGCTGGTTTAAACTCATGTCTAGGCGATTCTCCAAATATAAGAATTCTCAAGGGAAACGACCCTTTGTAGACCGAACAAATATCACCATTCGAAAATAAAATTGTTACTCTGTCGCCATTGCAAATAGCAATAGTTCCAAGTTTTTGGTTAACTGCTATAGCTGTAGCTATTTGAATAATATTCTGATTCTCTTTTTGATAGATAGTCTTAAGTAGCTGTCCTTGCCTTGATAAAAATTCAACGATACAATGGGACTGGTTGTTGCCACCATTCGTACTACCAATGTTTCTATGACCACATACCACAATCTTGTCATCATCAATCTCTGCCACATCCATCGGTGAATATGAAACGTCTAGAAAACTGTGCCAAATTCCAAACGAATAATGCAATAGTTTTTTTTCTTCTGGAAACGTTGCCAGTAACGAACCATCACTCAATTTAATCATCCCCGACGGAATATTTGGTGTACATATTTTGTTTAATAAATTGCCCTGTCTGGTATATTTGTATATGTATGAACGCCCTTCAATAATGACGTATGCATGTGCGTCGTACGCTCTTATGGAATAAACATTGTGTTGTATGCCATCTACTGTTGAATATTCCGGTTCAAACGTATACCAGTGTCTACAGAAGTATTTAGTTCGTACTGTTCCAAATTGCTGAATAAGATCCGACGTTCGAGGTATTGTTTTAGGGCTTTCATTTTCTTCACATTGATGGATATGTGTGTACGAACATTTCAAACAATAGAATAAATGACACTCTTCACATTGTTTATTTGAAACTTTCAGTTGATTGTGACAGAATTCACAGAACTTAGGTATGCATTTTGATTCTATAAAATAATTAGTCAGTACGTCGTTTGTCGTTGATCTACAAAGTGGACATATTAATGATATTATATCTTCCGAACTAATGGAACATTTCTTAACGCAGTTATCACAAAACGTGTGGCCACATGGTAACAATTTCGGGAGTACAAAATCCTCAAAACAAATTGGACATTCCATTTCATTCAATCCTGCCATTGTCCCCTGAAGTGCATATAAGTACAATGTATTATAATAACCTCAAAACATAATGGTGGTATGTTGAGGTGGATAAGTATTCTAAAAGACATTTGCATCAATACTTTGAAGAAGTCGTGAAAACAGAATAAAATACTTTATTATACTTCATGTAAAAATGCCAGATTTTGATTGGTTAATACGAGGGAGACAATTTACTCTATCCCATGGAAAATACTCTATTACCCTTCACGGAGACGCTTGATCAAGTGTGCGCTTTAATAAATACGGATGATTGTTATATACAAGACGACATAGTTTATTACTATGAATTTGAAATTTAATAGACAGTAATAACAGAACATTCAGTTTTATAAATGAAATAACACATATCTGAGAGGGTAATAGAGCAGATTGTTACCCCTCGAAAAGAAATTGTCAACCTCTGCTTCGCGTCAGTTGACAATGTTTTCTCGGGGTAACAATCTGCTCTATCACCCTCTCAGCTATGCGTTATTTATATAATGTGTTACTTACACGCTTAGTTTTACTAAGTATAAATACCACGTTTTTTTCTACACCCCAGGCATAGATAATCATAGCCGTATTTGTCAGAACTTTTCGGAGTTTTCGGTTTTTAATATTTTCAAATCGTATTTGATATGTTCTTGCAAATGTTTTGATTCGAGCGCCACAGATTACTATTATGTAGACGAAACACGTGTCTACTATTATGTAGACGAAACACGTGTCTGGTGTTCCAAATGATAAGCCTGGTATCTTTGGTGAGGTTTTAGAATATCTATATGAAAATGTTCCACACAAATGAAACAGCGTTTTAAAAGGTGGTGTCCCTTGTCATTTGTGTTAAGTTGAATGGATGTCGTTTTTAAAATTAGCTATGTACATGTAGTTTAAGTCAGCAGTATGTAAATATGCCCGTTTAAAGTGACTTAGTCAATACACGAGCCTCGTCAGTAGGTGTCCTGGTTTATAGTTTATTTGTTTCAGTCCATACAAGGTGTTTTGAATTAATGTCAGCTCATCGCTTCCTTTTATAAATGTAGTTTGCGACGTTTATAGACACTTAAGTCTTGTACATTGGTAAAGACCATGTGGTGACCTATTGACGTATTTTTGGTTTTGTTGTATTGTTTGTTTCCTGTCTTATTGACATTTTCTATTCATCTCTTTATTTTTGTTATATAAAACTGATAATTTGTCCGCAAAATTGATATTTATAGTGCCGACATTTTTACAGCTTTATTATGAAATAGGAAGTGTGCATAGCATTGTAATGTACAACGGACAAAATGCATTTTGAAGGTGTCTAATTTTATGTCCACTAACGCTTCTTTTCTTTTTTATTATCATATATGACAGAAAATAGCGATTCCTACATACATCCAAATTTACTTAATATTCGGGAATTTGGCTCTAGTGTGTCACTCCATTTCTACGACCGAAAAATTACTTCCAATAGTCCGATTGCTCATTTACTTTTTACAGCCATTTTCCAGACGAAACTAGGAGCTTATTTAAAAAATGTCTTGTAATTTTAGAGATCATTATGACTTTTCCGAAAGATGTCGGATGCATTAAGTTTTGTGTTTTACTTTTGTCAATCCAGAGTCACATAACTACGGTAAATATCTTTTTTGTGTTAATCAGTACAAAGACTTAAGCGGAAACATCGTTAAATAGAAAATACTAAAAATAGGTTGGGTTTGAATATGACTCTTTATATTTTTCGTGTTAGTGTTGACACGTGTCCCTTACACATTTCCTGAACGAGTCCGGTGTAGATTCTGAGAACACCAGTGTATTTAATATAATGTTGAACGATAGCATTAACCATTTTTTTCAGTTTGTTAGGCAGTTGATGTACCTGAAGTATATAGGTTAACATATGATCAGTGAGGTATAAATGAAGATTGAAAACCATATAAGTGGATGGACATTTGATATTCTGTGAGGTCTAGGGGGTTTTGGTTTCTGGTAATAATTAGAAAAATAACCTTGCCCAAGACAGGATCAGAATGAATATTCACCCCTAAAAATGCAAGGGAATGCAGGAAATAGTTGTGAACAAAAGTCAAAATAAATTAGCCGTACTATCCACAAATCAATATTCCATCCGCAAGAAATCCTCCTGGCCCCCAAGAAGATTTGATTGTCGTCCCCTGACGTGTATTCTATTTATATCATAACCATGAGTAGAGTAAACTCTCTGACACATTCCCCATTTCCATTCACAATTGTATACTGTTAAGTATAAAATACTTCACTATGGTATATGTCATAACCGTATGATCATATAAATTACATAAGATAGGAACTCATCATTTTCGAAATGTCCACAATTATTCAGTCTGTTATTAAGGCGAGGAAATATCCCTTTATCTGAAATCTTTTAACTTCAAAAACTATAAGCTATGTAAATAAGTAAGTGTCTGCTGGAAACCCTGTTGGTAAGAACAAGGATTCAGTGTAATAGGGTCACGTAGAATCTATAGACGATATGTCCCTTGTGGCACCGTTAAAGTCCACAATTCCTCTAAAGTCCACAACACCGCTAAAGTCCACAACAAATTTCCGCTAAAGTCCACAAACTTTCCGCTAAAGTCCACAAAATGACCTCCGCTAAAGTTCACAAGAAAACGCCGTTAAAGTCCACAATAACAAGTTCCGATAAAGTCCATAAAAAAACACCGTTAAAGTCCACACAACTTTTTTTATTTTTAGAATATCAATTCGCTTTTTTTTTTATCCCGGTAGTACAATACAAAGCATGGGCTTTTGTTCTTGGTAGATATTTTTTTTATCAGTTTGATAAATGAAAAAAAGTACAGTATCTGTAGAAGATTTTATTCCATTAATTTGATCTTTGTCTTATGATGATCCGATCAATGAATCAAACAGGCCAATTTGGACATCATTTCTAAAAAGTAATCAATTCATAGTAAATTCGTTAGTTATTACATAATTACTGGAATCTTCAAGTACTTTTTTTTTTATTCTTTGTATATAATCACTTTTTTACGTCACTATAAATGTACAGAGCAAAAGTCTCAGGACATGTTATTAATAATGTTTTTTTTATGTTGATGTTTAAAAACATGAGCACCGACAAGAAATTCGACATATAATTCGATTTTGCTAGTTTTAATTAAATTGTTACTTAACATAAGCACATGGACATGGGGTCATAATAATGTATCCTGCACTCCCCTCCAGCTATTTTTTCAACTTTTATATAGTTTGCCGATATAAAAATAGCTGGATAGTAAAACAGCACAAATAAGTAAAAATATCAGTATAGATGACCAGGAATAGATAGGTAAACGTCATTTGTATAAATGGCTCTAAATCAGAACTTTTACAAAATATTGCCTCGTAAAAAAGAGGGAGGACAGGGTATATCATCATGACCCAATGTACCTTTGTAAATAAGATTTGGTATGAGTGCCAATGAGACCACTCTCCATCTAATATTTTTGTATGATAATTGCTATCGGATTAACGTATTTAAGAACCTACATTGTATACATAATTATTATAACAAAACTGGACACACTTAAATGTCTTCCCTGTTTTAGTGTTTATAATTGAAGTTATTTGTAAGTGAACAATTTTTTTTACAACAAGCAATACATTAAATTATCAATTCAATGATCAATGAACATGATGTAAAGGTGAGATAAATCTTTTCAGACAGACATGGAGGCCGTATAAATTCATCCCATGATATACCAAATTAAGTTAGCTATCGCTTAAAATATCTCGGAAGCAAACATCATCAAGAAATAAGAACTTTGACTAATGAACCATTAAATTAGGTCAAGGAAATATGACACAGACCAGACAGACAGTCATGTACACCTTACAACCATTCAATACACAAGATGTATACATGACTTTAATATCACTTATAATATCTGAGAAACTGTCAAAACTATATATTAAGCATTTCATTTTATTTCTATCAGTCTTCTCACAAATAAACAGCTGGCTTGACGGTTTCTGTAGTAAAGTTCCTAAATTTTCTAAAAACATATCTTCCAACATTATTTGTATTTCAAATAACTTCAATTTCAGTGAGCTTTTTAACTCAATTTCATACTTAATACAGGAGATTAACTGATAAAGTTACAATGTAGCGTGACTTTTGTATTTAGTTAAAGTTTTTATTTCATTTTTTAATTCTAGATTTGACAAATTTCTTAGAATTAGACAGACGGCACGCGTACGGTCCGACCGTATACGTATTTTGAATAAGTTCGTCTACGGTCCAGACCATATACGCGTATGGTCTAAATGCGCATATGGTCTGGAACATCCGTACATTGGATTTGATGTGATTAAAGTGATTACAATTTGATATAATTAGTAGGTGAACTACTAAAAAAATGTTAAAAAAAAATTACATTATAAATTTATGTTGATTTTTACAAAAAGAGGAAGAAGTTATATTTTCATTTATTTAATGCAGAATGCCTGTCTATCAGTTACTTGCTAGTTATTATAAAAGGCAGTGTTAGATTTTTAACATGAATGAAATAGCTAGATAAGAATTCTGAGTATTCGTACATTTAATTTAGTTTTGAATTTACCTTGTTCACCAATAACGAAGTACATGATTGTATTACTGAGAATGTGTACGGTACAGGGTCCTAAAGATGTAAATTTCGGTATAAGATTATGAGTAAAGGGTTATATCGAAGCCATTACTGTAGGGTTGAAAGTCAAGTCAAGTACATGACCCTGTTGGTCATGTAAGCTATGTAAGATGTTAAATTTTCCTACGAAGCTTCAGAAGAATGGATGTGAAAATTTTAGTTTAAAGAAATGCATGTCCATGGGGACCTAGCACTAGAGGTCCAAAGTTTAGAATACGCTCCAATAGAAAAAGCTTAAACTATGTGTTCCTTAAAACCAACAATGATCATATTTAGGTCAAGTGAACAATACAAGCTTAAGATCACATGATACTCTAGTTTTAATAATATTTAGATATGTATATGTTGTACAGAATTTCCTGCTGTTTATTAAATTTGAATGTTCATTCTATACTTCATTATTATCAATTCTCATAAAACCAGAAAACGAAAGTAATGTTGATCGCCTTTCTTATTTTTTTTGATACCAAACAAATCAAGGGAACGAACTAAGACACGAGCAGCCATTTTGATTTGTTTAGTAATTCCTGGGAAACTTGAAATCAGAGTAATATTTTAATTTTGATATTGTCAATTGGAAATGTTTGCCTACCAGGTCATTCGACCTATTAACTGATTAACCGGAAGTAAAGTAGGTGGTCAATGGTCTTGTTTAAAGTAATCTGCAAGTTCATGTTATTAGAGTCTGATGATTTTCTCATCTAAATCTGAAACCTAGTTTATGCAAGTTCAGCCAATTTTATTTAGGAGTGTTTTGATCAAATTTGCATCTTCAAATTGTTTTACAGTAACCTACAACATATATGTTCCAGACCATGTTAGTATTTGGACCGTACGCGTACGGTCTGGAGCGAATGCGTACTTTTTCAAAATACGCATACGGTCGGATTGTACGCGTAAGGTCTGCCTAATTTTGTGTATTAGATACAAATGTACATTACAGATCAACATAACTGAAATCTTAAATTAATACAAAAAGTTCAATTGCAATTGAAATAAAAACTTAAAATTTTAATTACTCAAAAATGTCATGTTCATTTGATATGGTAATCGTCTGTATTTAGCATGTCTGTAATACACGAAATTGAATTATGCTCGCTGAAATTGAAGTTATTGGAAGTAAACATAATGTGGGAAGAAAAGTTTTTAGAATATTTAGGAACTTTACTAAAAAATGTAAATTGAAAGGAATATGCATGAACAAAACATGTAAATGTGAAAAATCTAATGTTCCTTGTGGACGAGAGTGCCAAAAAAGATTGAATGTTCGCTTATTCTCTTTATTCATGTAATTGTAACAATGTAAGTTGAAGATTTTAACAAATGCCTGTATTTAAGAATTGAATGGTTCTTTTTGTAAATTCATTGGGGTGTAAAAGCGTTGACCGAAGTACATTTTGTATGAAGCGCGGAAGCGCATCATTCTAAAAATGTGCGCAAATCTTTTATACGTGTACTCATCATGGGTAAGACATAATACAGAACCGCATCAGCGTATAATCTATTCAATTCATCTTCAATGCATTCTGAAACAAATACATTTTCCTTTTTGAAAACCAAACAAACATGCAAACTAATGAGTGATCGAAATCTGCTTAGCACCACAAAATGCATGTGAGGAATTCTTTTATTTATCATTATTTTGATTTCAAACAAGAACATTATGGTTTAAAGTCTATTTTTGGAATAAGGGACCGTTTTGGCTGCTGTGGAGCATAACCGAAACTGAATGGATTTCGTTCAATATTATGTTTTATAGATATTTGCAAAGATATTTGCAAACGAAATTTCAATGTCAAATATAGGCTCCAAGATATGTCAGTGTGTATAAATGGTTACCAAAGAAAATACAAAAAGAGCACCATAGCTAGATAACTTTTCAGAAATGTTGCCTGTTTGATTCATAGAAAATCGCAATACAAAGATCTTTTATGGGGATCAAAATCAGAATCTTTTCATTTATCAAAAATATAATTCAAGCGGATAAGAAATACTTTCCAAGAACAGCAAGTCCATGCTTTTTATTAGATCTATACCATCGGGATTAAAAAAAAAAAGCGAATTGATTTTTTAATAATAAAAATAAAGGTTGTGTGGACTTTAACGGTGTTTTTTTGTGGACTTTAGCGGAAGTTGTTATTGTGGACTTTAACGGTGTTTTTTTGTTGACTTTAGCGGAGGTCATTTTATGGACTTTAGCGGAAAGTTTGTGGACTTTAACGGCGTTGTGGACTTTAGCGGAAATTTGTTGTGGACATTAGCGGTGTTGTGGACTTTAGAGGAATTGTGAACTTTAACGGTGCCACAGTCCCTAACAAAAACGGGGAATCATACCTGTACTGATATTCTCGGGCTATATTCCAACACCAGAAATACACGTTGTGTTTCCTGTAACCTGGAAGTATGATTGATCACACCTTTCCATAACATATGGGTATTTCATTTCCTTGTTATGTTTATGTGCTTTAAATATCTTTCTATATATAGAAATGGATTTTAATGTTTCGATCCTTCTTCGAGTTCCTTTGTTGTACTCATCCGGCTTATCACGACCTTCATGACTGGATGATATGGCCTGTGTTGAATTTTCAGCATTGATTTTACTATTTAGTATGTATTGAACTTAATCGGAGGACACTGTCTAACTAAATGAATTTAAATAGGAAAATTTAATAAATGATAAATATAGAAAATGTTGAACATTTTTCTGAATGTAATTCCAAGCTTCCCCAACAATAATACAATGCTAGAATATAAATATTGGACAAGCTGTGAATGACGCTTGATTTGGGAAGGGGGGGATACCCACAAAAATGCCTTCTAAAGGACCTTCAAAAGGACCTTCGAAAAAAAAAAAAATATTTTGAAAATAAAAAATTCTTAAATGTGAATCTCTTAATTAAAACAGTTGGAAAGACAAGAAAACAAGAATGTGTGTCTAAAGGAAACCATGTTCCGATCAAACTATCGCACTTTCATTTTCTGAGCGCCTCGAAATCTGAGTCAAAACGCTTTTTATTATATAGTCCGAGTAATAAAGAACACTTATAATAAGTTTCAAGTGATGTGACCACACATTTATGGTAAAATACTGAGGAAATCAACAGCCTGATATATACTTATTGCCAATTTAAGTTTAAATTTGTTTTCTTCTTATGGAACTCCTTTCCTCGATCTTGATATCTATATCATTAACGGGAAGCTCAATACAAAAATTTATGATAAAAGAGATGATTTTTCATTTCCTATCGTTAATTATCCATTTTTAGATGGTGACGTTCCCTTGTCACCATCTTATGGTGTTTATATATCTCAACTTGTACGATTCGTTCGTGTATGTAACAACGTATTAGATTTTAGCGAGAGAAATTTATGTATTACTGAAAAATTATTACAGCAGGGTTTTCGATATCATAAACTAGTCAAAACATTTACTAAATTTTATCATCGGTATAAGGACATCATTCGTAAATATAGCTCAACATGCAGACTTCTTATACGTTCAGGTATTTCACATCCAATTTTTTATGGTAATATTCTTTACAAAGCACAAAAATGTCAGTATTCACCTCGAAAGCTAACAAAACCTTTAAACAGACTTATTAAGAAGGGATATAGTTACGATACTGTTGTCAGGTCATTAAAGATTGCATATTTTGGCTTTAATATTGGTTCACTTATAGGGTCTTTGCATCGGAATTAACACATTTATTCTAAAACCAGTTGTTGGCATGACACGGGTTATGTTCTTCTCATATATTTTATGACGGTATAATACTAAACCCCTAACAGGAGGGATTGTGCCTGATATTTATATGATGAAAACATAATCTTTCAATCAGTTTAATTGAGGTCTGGAGCTGGCATGTCAGTAACTGCTAGTAGTCTGTTGTTATTTATGTATTATTGTCATTTTGTTTATTTTCTTTTGTTTCCTTTTATGACATCGGACTCGGACTTTTCTTATACTGAGTTTTACTGTGCGTACTGTTGTGCGTTTGTTTTTTCTACATTGGCTAGAGGTATAGGGGGAGGGTTGAGATCTCAAAAAAACATGTTTAACCCCGCCGCATTTTTGCGCCTGTCCCAAGTCAGGAGCCTCTGGCCTTTGTTAGTCTTGTATCATTTTAACTCTATTTTCCTGTGTATAATTTGGAGTTTAGTATGACGTCCATTATCACTGAACTAGTATACTTATTTGTTTAGGGACCAGCTGAAGGACGCCTCCGGGTGCGGGAGTTTCTCGCTGCATTGAAGACCCATTGGTGGCGTTCAGCTGTTGTCTGCTCTATGGTCGGGTTGTTGTCTCTTTGACACATTACCCATTTCCATTCTCAATTTTATTAGATATGTAAAAGGGATGAAACACAAGTTAAGTCCATCAGGCAAAGTTAACTAAAAGAAGGGGACAATTTGTATCATCAAAAGAAAAAAAGACAACACCATGACCAGAAGTAAAAACGGATTAACAACCTCCATAAAACAATGCAAAGAGACTATAGATTAAGTATTGGACTCTATCAAAAACCGGGAATGAACTCGGGTAGTCCATAAGGGTAACAGATTCTGCTTTAGTAATGACATCCGTTATGTTACTCATGACAAGTAAAAATTCGGTGACAAGTCGCTATCGGTCATGTCATAAGCAAAAAAAGAGGAAGGGATTGTGGATACGAAAAGTCAAAAAGTGAAAAATATATCGTGGGCATCTGTGACACAGATATACGACAACAGTTAACCACGTCGTGTTTGTATAGCTTTTTTTGTAAGTGGCAACCCATGATCGATGAGATCATAATAAGAAATGCAAACCTTGGAATATCGTACATACAAGAATTAGACATGCACTCCCTATGCAGGTACTGCTGGAATGTTGCCACATAAAAATGAAAAGTTTACAATGGGAAAACTAAAAACATCTCTTCTGACGTAAACGTTGTCGAATGTTTATATTACACTATAATCGCCACCGGAAATAGGGGTTCTATTTCGAAGCAAATAGAGGACAAAATCATAAATAAGTCAAAAGATTTTTTTTTCATTTAAATCATTTCTATCGATTTGATGAGGTTAACGCGTACGAAATGATTGTTCTTGAGTAGACTGCTTCTTTTTTTTTTATGCCAATACATGCAAGTACCAAACAAAGACAATATTTTGTGTTATACTGAAATATGTGCACCGTATATCTGTATATTTCGAGGTCGATGGTCTTTCGTCGCCTTAGTCATGAAAGATGAAAAACAGGATTGTGGCTACATCAAATGGAACATATCCATAGCCATCCGAGACACAGATTCCACAACGGTAAAGTAAATAAAGTTCGTAAAATGTTTGAATAGATGAAAAGTAAACTATCAATAACCCTTGTATCAATAAGTTCATTACAGCAACTAATCCATTTCAATTGATATTTTATAGTGCGTCTTTCTATGTTGTGATGGTACACTATTGTTTCAGAAAAAGGGTGAAGGTTTGGTACCATTAAAACGTTTAAACCCGCTGCAATTGTTTGCACCTGTCCTAAGTCAGGAATCTGATGTTCAGTAGTTGTCGTTTGTTGATGTGGTTCATAATTGGTTCTCGTTTCTTGTTTTTTATATAGATTAGACCGTTGGTTTTCCCGTTTGAATAGTTTTACACTAGTAATTTTGGTGGCCCTTTATAGCTTGCTATGCGGTGTGAGCCAAGGCTCCGTGTTGAAGACCGTACTTTGACCTATAATGGTTTACTTTTATAAATTGTGACTTGGATAGAGAGTTGTCTCATTGGCACTCATACCACATCTTCTTATATCTATGTCTAAAATGATTAAAATGAAAACAAGGTATGGTCATATTTATTAATAATGTGTCATCTATTTTATAAAAAATATCATAGAGAGTTGACCATGTAGTGTATATATATATATTTAGCACTTATTTTGCGGAAATAAAAAGAATAGAATATACATACACTTTTGCAAAACAAAAATATTCACAAATAAGAAACCGACTGCAATTTTTTTAAATTAATGTTAATATTATTTACTAAATAACGTATCGTCATTGTGGTTTGTTCAAGCAAAAGCTTTTCAAAGTTGTCTTTATATTTATGGTGTAACTAGTTAACAGTAAGATCCTATGAATTGCATGTCGGGTTCTCATTCAAATTTCTACAATAAACTCTGCGACGTCTGATGACAAATGTGTAGGTCAGTTCCGGGTAGGTTCCTTTTCGACAGGGATAGGTCATCTCGCGTCTTTTGGCACATTTACTAACGATCTCGTAATCTTCGTGTTCATAATACATCGACGTATCAATTGACGGTACAGTTAAAGCTGTTGGTAGGAAAATGTTCAACATTACTTTATCGTAGGACCATGACACAAATTTAAAGTCGCATTCCCAAACGTCCCCTGACATTCCCTCACAGTTTGTAGACCTAATCATACTCTGGGGACAATATGTCACATCTCCGGTCTTTGTAATTATTGCCTTATCTTCGAAGTCCATAATGAGTTTCCTATAATAACGAAAACATCATCTAATAAAGTAAAGACATACCAAAGAATCTATATATGGCAAATAATATATGGTTGGCAGAACATGTTAAAGTAAGATGAATATAAACCCCATTGTTTTCTACACCGACACCTTGAGCTTCATTTTTAACCTGCTAGACAGTCTTTGCTATTACTCCTAAATGTCGCGTGCTTAGCGGGGAATCATCAACTACGAATTTCAATCAAATTTCCCTGCAGGGATCGAACCACGACCTCCTGCCCTCGATACGTATACAAGCATGCTACCACATCTGTATTTCGAAAATATTTCATTTCTTGAAAATGGTGATCTATTAACCAAGTATAGGCAATAAAAAATTGTGAACAATCAAAGAGAAATAAAACTGAACTAATTTGACGCAGAGAACAGCGAATGAACACCTGGACATCGAAGGGATAACCTTCATACTAAAAAAAGTAAGATTTTGAATTTCATTTTTTTAATTAGCGCGAGAAGATGCGGAACCCGCTGGCCGTTGATTTTTACATTCGAATAGTTTGTCGGGGCCTTTAATGTGCCTTATATTTGGTATGGGTTTTGCTCGTTGTTGAAGACGTAGCTGCTTACATCTACATCGTTTAGGCTCTGGTGGGTTTTATGTCCTTGGCAATCATTCCACATCTTCTTATTTTTATAAAGTAGACAAAAAACTGACACCATTTTAACAGGGGAATGTTTGCTAACCAGTAAATGGATACTTATTGTCAAAACATAGTATCTGATACTTAAACAACTAATACTTACTGTCCTAACATAACAATATCCGGTAACCAGATAATAGATGACGGCAAACTAACTCTTGGTTGTCCTCTCGGCCATGAAAGTCTTGGGTCGTTCCAGGATATACATTGAAAGGCTTTGAAAACAAGTATCTTATAATCCTACAATTATAATACCGAAGATTCAAGTCAAAATTAATAATGACTCTTTTCGGTTTCATTATAGACATGTTTCAATATAATGGGGAACATGTAATAAATGACATTACATTAAAAAAGAGATAATTGACATTACATTAAAAAAGCGATAATTGACATTACATTAAAAAACCGATAATTGACATTACATTAAAAAAGCGATAATTGACATTTATTTACATTAAAAAGAGAATATTATAATAAATGGGTTGATATAATCTACAATTAAAAAAATTGAATAAAGTGTTTAGAATACATGACAAACAAATGTGCTGCACTCATGTAATAAGTCATGAACTTCTTCAGCGATTGTCTTCCGTAGTGCGCATGTCCCAAGTCAGGAACTTCTTTAGTGGTTGCCTTCTGTAATACATTTAAGTCTTTCATCGTTTTGGGAACTGTGTCTATTGCAGATCTTTGACCTCTGTTAAATTCATTCACAACGTTTTCGAGACTTGGAATGAACTAGATTATGACATATTATTAACTATCTATTGTTAAAGACCGTACGTAACAGATAATCGCTGAATTAAAATGCTGTATTTATTGAAACGAGGATTGCCAGTAGCCTAAGGATTGCTAGTGGTTCGCACCAAAACAAGACAAAAAGATATACTAGAGATCTACAACACGTTTCCTAATTAACTGTTGACACAGAGATGTGTCTCGATTGTCAGTAGAAAATTCAGATATCGACAATCTGATGAACAACAAGTCAACAACATTGCTAATAAATTCAGTCACTGGACTACGACCTAGGGGGTACTACCTATAAACAGCCGTCAAACTGATATTTACTGATAGTTATGCAACTTATAGAAAATATCATTGATCTGTCACAAGTAGTTCCTATCAAACTGACAAAGCAGAAAACTTAACAATTGTTGACGCCGTCGCCTTCGACGTCGCAGCCGGAAAAACAACACCTATGTCTCGCCCTCCGCGACTTTCGTTGCAGGCGAGACAAACAAGTGACACACACATCTCCTTTTAATCGAATCAAATGATTACTGGATACATATTGATTTCGATTGGATATATTTAGTTTTCTCGAGATGCACGTATCCGTTTTTGTTGACCTCATGCAGTTGTCATTTTTCTTTTTTATTCATATGGATTTATTTATTGTTTTGATATTTATTGTACAAAAATGTTTTTTTTTTTAATTATTTAATGTCATTTTATCAGTGTTTGTTTGCTTGGTATACTGTTTTATCGGCGATACGAATAAAAGGAAATATGGGATAAACGTCAAGAAGAAATAACATAACGATAAAAACCAAAAATATATGTTTCTATATCTACACTTACAAATTCGACCATTTCTTTTGGAACTAAAGAATGGGTAACCTTAACAACTGGAACAATTGGTCTAACAAGTTTGTTGTATCCATCAAGAATATTAGTTATGATGTCGAACTCTGACACTGATCTTGCTAAACAAAAATATATAACATACACACATTTATTCTATAGATAAAAGACATTACACTATATGGTAAATCAAAAAACAATAATTTAATACAACAGATTAGGAGAAGTGAATTAATGACTTCTTATTTTGACTAAATGACAAACAGTCTTATTTCCTGGATATTTAAGGAATGACTAATATTTTTCTGTCTATGAAGAAATAACATCAAAAATGTGGTGCACACTGAATAACCCTCGTAGCGGGTTATTTTAAAGTGTGCACCACATTTTTTATGTTATTTCGAATAGACAGAAAAAATATTACAGTCATTTCTTATAATTTAATTCTTAATTCCATTTTAAACCGGTGTAAATCATGAAAAAACGTTGATGACGTCAAGGTCACATGACAAAATTATGTCTATGAGCTGATAAACAAAACAACGTCAGCCAATCGGAAGACGTGTTACATCCAAAATTAAATTATAAGGATAATAAACCTGCTTTTTTTGTTACTGCTCGAATAGCCAGTAAATAAAGTGTTTTATTATACAGAAAGAAGTAGGGGAAAATGTTTGCTTCCAGTATCATATTGTCAAAATAAAACTTCACTACCAGTAGAGATATTATGCGAAACTGCCATTATCTATTTCCTTAGTATTAGAAGTGACAAGACATTGCCTATTGCTTTCTACCTGACGAGAAAAATTCTCCTCTATTGTTTGTAGCAAAAGTTTTTTTTAAATATTTGTATATTTTATATACAAATTGTTTACACGTAGTTCCGAAGGCTTTTATGTCAGCCCAATGTTTTATCTTACGATATCATCACAAGGCTTTTTTGTCAGCCCAAGGTGTTATCTTACGATATCATCACAAGGCTTTTATCTCAGCCCAAGGTGTCATCTTACGATGTCATCACAAGGCTATTATGTCAGCCCAAGGTGTTATCTTAGTGTCCGATATCACCACAAGGTTTTTATGTCAGTCCATTTGAAGGTGTTATCTTACGATATCATCACAAGGCTTTTATGTCAGTCCAAGGTGTTTTCTTAGTGTCCGATATCACCACAAGGCCTTTATGTCAGTCCAAGGTGTAATATCAGTGTCCGATATCACCACAAGGCATTTATGTCAGTCCATTTGAAGGTGTTATCTTACAATATCATCACAAGGCTTTTATGTCAGTCCAATGTGTTTTCTTAGTGTCCGATATCACCACTAGGCTTTTATGTCAGTCCAAGGTGTAATCTTAGTGTCCGATATCACCACAAGGCTTTTATGTCAGTCCAAGGTGTTATCGTAGTGTGTGATATAAAACCATGAATAATACAGGATTTATATTGAAAAATATTTCTCACAATCCCTAGCTTATGCATTGCCCTCGTTTATCTTGATTTTATCATATCATCCACTACTTTATTATGAACAAATGGCGACGTGGGTAGCTTATCAACTAGACAGATACCTAATAAAATTAAAATACAAGACAACAGTGCATATTAATATGATTAATGTTTTACACTGTGATACCAATAGTCCAAAATTAAACAAAACAAAAGTTTATTCATACATTATGATGTCACAAATGGGGTCTAATTCTTACTCTAACGGAACCATTTTTACTGCAACAGGTGCGCTCGAGGATTTAAGTCTCTTCAACGATGCTCAAGTCTAACATATTTGAAAAACTAATACAAACTTAACACTAAGGTATAGATATTAATACCTGGGGCGCTGATTTGATATGGAGTGATATCAATATATATCCGGTGATACTGTAATTGAGATGACATGGGCTAGGCGTGAAATAAATACCAATCTCTGCGAAGCTGATATTAAGATGAAATGAGCTCAGCGTGAAATAAATATCAATCTCGGAGAAGCTGATATTGAGATGAAATGAGCTCAGCGTGAAATAAACATCAATGCCAGTGAAAATGATATTGCGATGAAATGAGCTAGGCGTAAAATAAATATCAATCTTGGTGAAGTTGATATTGAGATGAAATGAGCTCGGTGTGAAATAAATATCAATCTCGGTAAAGTTGATATTGAGATGACATAAGCTCAATGTGAAATGAATATCAATCTTGGTGAAGCTGAGATTGAGATCAAATGAGCTAGGCGTGAAATATTAATCTCAGTAAAGTTGATATTGAGATGACATGAGCTTAGCGTGAAATATCAATCTCGGTGAAGTTGATATTGAGATGACATGGACTGGGCGCGATATAAATATCGATTTCGTTGATGCTGATAAAATGCATTGAGGAAACATGGACTGGGCGCGATATAAATATCAATCTCGGCGATACTGATATTGAAACGACATGGACTGGACGAAATATAAATATCAATTATGTTAATGCCGATACAATGCATTGACATGGATACGGCGTGACATTACATGAACTGAACTCGATACAGTTGTATCGGGTACCAAAAGCAATTGTATAGGAAGGAGAATGTGACTGTCAACATACCTATAGGAGATAATCTAATTGTCTCTGCTCTAACATTGACATTGCCGTCTGTTGCTTCACATATATAGTTGCCAGCATCACTCATGGCAACATTTGATATTCTCAATGCCGGATTGGATATGGTACCTCCAGACATTTTACCGGATATTGTTAGTGGGTCGTTGTTCATCTTCCACGTGATCTCAGTGGGGTTTCCAGCAGTTACTATACAGGCTAGTGTAACGGTTTCCGTCTCCGCAGGATTATAGAAAGTATTTGGAGCAGTCACAGACAGAGACGCTACAAAACAGTTTTTATACTTTTCATGGTTTCAAGCTGTACAAACAGTTTAACTTTGTTAAAGTTACCAAATCATTACTTTTGGTGTAAAACCACAAGATTATATCTCTTTTATAAAATGTACTATTATATTATTTATTTATGCATTTCTCTGTGCTGAGTGTTCTTGCGTTTGTTTGTACCGTATTTCTGTCACGTAGTGTTGTCATTTTAGCGATAGTTTTTAACATTGCCATATAAGCGGGAGGTTTGGCTAGCCATAAAACCAGGTTCAACCCACCATTTGTTTCTTAAAATGGCCTGTACCAAGTCAGGAATATGGCAGTTGTTATCAAATAGTCCGTTTCTATGTATGTTGGCGTTTGTTTTTGTTGCAGTTCAGTGTTTCTGTTGTTCCGTTGATTTCCTCTTATAGTTGATGTGTTTCCCTCGGTTTTAGTTTGTAACCCGGATTTGTTTTATCTTAATCAATTTATGACTTTTGAACATCGGTATACTACTGTTGCCTTTATTTATAGCCGTTATTATTTAATCACTATTGAAATATATGCATAACATGAAAGATAAAGCCTTTTCACTCTCAAAAAATCTACAAAAAACAAATATGTATGCAATTCATCTGAAATCATCTTCTCCGTTACACCATTATGTTTGTATCTACTGATCTTTAACTTACATCTCACTGTCAGCTGCAAACTTGCTGTCTGTTTATTGTTTAATGTTTGTGGGTGGAAGACATCACAGTAAATGATTTGTCCATTATGTCCCATGCTTGGTGCCCATGTCAATCTCCCTACAACTCGATAGGTACCAGCGAAGGATTCGAATAGGGAGTTTGTCGATAGTTCATTGTTGAAAAGTTGATTTCCAATCCTCATAGCCAGAGTTTGTGCAGGGAATGCACCAGAAGAAGTACATGTCCAGGTACCAGATGAACCAGCTGCAACCGATTGTGGGCCGACTAGAATTGGCTGTGATGGAGTTGCTACAGAGTAGTAAAATACCAATGAAAAGTACGACTGGACAACATTAGGGCTTTCAGTATCTTGATATATATTTATCTTTTGTAACACTAACAGGCATTGCAAGCATACATTTACCGTAGTCATAATGGAGTTCCCTCTACGCTAGGTTGCTCAATGTTAGATGTTTAATGATACCAAATTAGTCGACAAGTACAAGACTTGCGCATGTAGCATAAATGATTGTTCCTTTTCTGGTTTGTTGGTGTCTCTTTATTTATGGTTTTAAAATGTAGCAATTTTACAATATATTAAATATTTCAAACGTAGAATTAAAACCACACATGTTAAATCACTAAGACTTTGCACTAATCATTATCTTTACCGAAGTTACTTTGGTACGGATATGATTTATAACAAACCTTTCTGAAGTTATCCGTTTAGAAATTGAGATATTATAAAGAAACTAAGATTTCAACTCCTTCAGAAAAAGTTGACCTTAGATAGATTTTGCTATCATTTAAGGTGTTTGTCCTTTTTGTTTATATAGCTCTTCAACTGTTTTGGTTTATATACATCCTTGGACTTTAAATATTCGGCTTTAAGCATTCCTGATGAAGAATAACCCAGAAAATCATTTCAGATTCATGAATTTTACAAAGTGTTGTTTTCAGTTTTTTACTTAGTGAAATTGTGGTTCTGCGAATGAAATTGGGTAAAACTGATTTTGATCAAATTTCAATTTATACTCTTTCACTTTTGTGACTAAATATTTAGTGATTTGCATTTTTTTTTCATTCACGAAAGCCTTTTTTAAAACTGTCCATTTCGTTATAAATAAATCTAGTTGAAAGAATCTAGTGAATACAAATTCGATTTTCCGGGGATTAAACTCTTGTATCAGAATTGATAAATAATCCCCGTCTTCAGCGTTTTAATAATTGCATTTTTAAGCAACAATCATGAAATTATGAGTTAAATCAAGCCTTCCGTTTTGTTTTTCGGTATATTTTTTTTGTAATTTTATTGGAGTGTGAAAGCGGTAACATTATAGCACATTTTGTATGAAGCGGTAACAATATAGTACATTTTGTATGAAGCGGTAACAATATAGTACATTTTGTATGAAGCGGTAACAATATAGTACATTTTGTATGAAGCGGTAACAATATAGTACGTTTTGTATGAAGCGGTAACAATATAGTACATTTTGTATGAAGCGGTAACAATATAGTACATTTTGTATGAAGCGCTTCCCTAAAAATCTGCGCATGTTCAACATGTTCAATCCTATAAAATTACAAAAAGAAGCATTCAATTCTTATTACCTTTTTATGCCATTAACATGAAATTGTGAGTTAAATCAGATCTTTCGTTTGTTTTCTGTGCATTATTTTAATGTTGTCACGGATAGCACGTGCAGTCAAGGATCATTGAAGATGTTGTATTTTATTGTTTTTTCTTTATTGCAAAAAAAAAAAACAAAACAATTTTGGTCATAGCAATACAGACACAAAACAAACATAAGAAAAACTCAGCAATATTAAGATACATGTTAAAAACTTTTATTGGGATATACAATATGACTCTGGAATGCCTCCGAAATGTGTGAAACGTCTTTATCATGTATGGGTCAGTCGGACCTTAGATAGAGGAAACTCCGTTCCGTAGCGGGACTATTATTATCTCTACCGAAATGAAATGCCTGTATTGTATCAAAATGGAATCGTGTTAATATTCCCGATCTCAGAATCGGAGTTTGATCCTATCGGGCAATGTAATTATAAACATGCTAAATTTGGCTGCAGAATTATTTTTTAATTTGAAGACCTGTAACAGTGTGTGAAAAGATTTTTTCCCGATTGTTGATCTTGTGCAAATATGAACATAAACCTCGACGGTAAAACGGAGAGGTGTACCGTAAAATGTCATGAAACATAAATTTATGAATGCTGATGGTAGCAAATAACAAATCGTTGTATCAAACTTTAATGACCTTTCTATCTTCAAGTATTTGACAATCTTTGGGAATCAGAACTAATTTTCCTTGGTTTTGAACTTTTGAACAAGGTCCGGTTTCCATTTTTAAAAATGAATCAGATATGTCGTATCTTTGATGGATGACATTACGTAAACTCTGGTTAAATTTCAACCCATGGTTATGAATACTTTACCCTAGGCTTACTATCAAACTATAAACAAAATTAAGAACTAGGTGCAGGCAGTTACTGTTACTCATTCTGTAAATATTTTTCACTAACCTTTTGGAGATAGACGGATTATACTGGTTCTTTTAGTTACAGTACCAGCTGTCGCTGAACATACATATTGGCCACCATCACTTAGCTGTACGTTCCTTATAAACAAGGAAGGATTCTGAACACTGCCTCCAGAAAAACGATTATTCAAAGCAAAATTCACTTGTTGGTTGTCTTTGAACCAATCGATCCGATCAGCAGTACCAGTGACCCGACAAGTTAGTGCGACACTGGTGGACGTCTGGGGCGCATAAAATGTCAACGGCGCGTATATTTCCAATGGATCTGAAAATAAATTGATAGTTATATTCGAATCGAAGCATTAAACCATAAATGTCGAAGCATTAAACCATAAATGTCGAATCATTAAGACTTTGAACTAATCATTTTCATACTAAGGTCAGGTCACAGAATGCAATTTTGGTTTTCAGAAAGAATGTTGGTAAAACTGATTCTGTTCGAATTTCAAATCATCACTATTAGGTTAAAATAGTGGATCACAATGTTATTATTTAGAAAGCTACCTTATTACAAACTTAATTTCGATATTAGTAAATCTAGTTGAAAGAGTCTAGTTAATACAAAATAGATTTTTTGTGATAACAAATTGCATCAAAATTGAGAAATGAATAATCTAGCAGATCAATTTATCTACAGAAATACAGTTACTCCGAATTTCTTATCATTTAAAGAATATCGTTCTGTGGTTTACAGATGTTCAAAACTCATAAATCGATACAAACTATCAATACAAACTAAGGATACAAACTAAGGATACAAACGAAAACTGAAGGAATTCTTGGTGGTTACCGTAAAACTTGTTTAGTGTCGATTTCACTCGTTCTTCCTCATAGTAGACTGTAGTGTTGGGAGCAATTTTTGTGCAAGAAGCAAATTCCTGTTAATGAAGTCCGTTTTGTGAGAACCTTTACGAGCGTAACATAATAATTGAAATTAGTAAACGCCATACAATGATGCAGATTTTATGTTACCGCTGATAAATGAGAAGTTGACAAAACGGAAAGTTGAAATCATCACGTTTGTCATTGATTCTAATTTGAAGTCGTTCATCTGCGTCAATATTGGAAGAAAAAGTCCAGATATGAAGCATACCTTTTAGTTTCGGTATAACTCTTAATCTCATTAGACAAGTTCATTGAGATAATTGAGATGTAAGCGCTCACTGACGTATTGGTTATTGCGTGACCGGGCATCAATATATCTGAAAGTGAAATTAAAGAACCTTGCCAGATGCTCTTTATTTTGGTCTTCGAGTATGCTTTATGACTTTCTGCTTCATACGAGTACCAAATAAATCAACAGGTAGGGGTGCACAATAGTACCGATTGGAGTATCGGGTCTGTTGAAATATCAATTGACCAAACTCAACAAATATGTTGATTTAAAAGTCCATCATCTTTATGATATCATCTTCGGTAAATCTGTGGTTGGAATCAGTCTAGCTAATTTTTCACAAGGTAAGAATCGTTATGACTTTAAAAGCAAGGAATGTACATCTTCGATTCCTATTTTTGTATAAAAACTCTTAATTAGACGAGGTAGTCGATCATGGCTTTCTTAATGGTCTGTTTGAACTAGCTGTTAGTAACTGCGAGTACTCTCAGTACTTAAGTGTCTTTTTGTTGTGGGGATGTACAAGTACCCTGCCACGTCCACTCTGTTTTTGTTAAATGTATTTCTGCTTTGTATTGATCTGATGTGTTAAGCCCTTTTCAACTGATTTTTATAGTTTGTTCTTATGGTGTACTGTTACACCACTGTCCCAGGTTAGGGGGAGGGTTGGCGCGCCTTCAAACTAGTTTAACCCCGCCACATGCTGTATGTGCCTGTCCCAACTCAGGAGCCTGTAATTCAGTGGTTGTCGTTTGTTGCTGTATATCATTTGTTTTTCGTTCATTAATTTGTACATAAATCAGGCCGTTAGTTTTCTCGTTTGAATTGTTTTACATTTGTCGTTTCAGGGCCTTTTATAGCCGACTATGCGGTATCGGTTTTACTCATTGTTGAAGTCCGTACGGTGACCTATGGTTATTAATTTCTGTGTCATTTGGTCTCTTGTGGAGAGTTGTCTCATTGGCAATCATACCACATCTTATTTTTATATGAATTATATATATAATATATTACCTCACTTAGATTTTTGTTTTTAATTAGAAGGCTACATAATCAGTTAATGATTGCCGATTGTCGTAGAAAACAAAGAAATTCTCGTATCAACCTGTAATGTCATCTCTTTTTTCAAGTCTTTATGAACCGGGAATCTTACTTTTAGTCACCAGTTTCATTGGTTAAAATTGCGAGTTCCTGAGCTAGGTTAAATTTTAACAATTTCATCAAAGTTGTAACCAAGGGTTAAATCTGGCCAGGCAATAACAAAATAGAATTACCTATACTATAGTTCTATATTGTTATTTTAAACCAGTAAAAAAAAAAACTGTATCCAGGCGGTTATTATTGTTAATTCTGTAAATACGTATAACCTAAATCATCATTTGTACAATCTTTGCTAACAAGGATCAGTTTTAAAAGACCATTCGGGATCCTCTGGTTTTGTCAGAGTAAAACACACTTTCAAAGATTTGAAGACTGAAATTTCATTGGCTGATGTAATAATTACTAGAAAAGGGTAAAATGGAGTGCTATCAGATCCTTGTAAGCAAAACTTGAACACAGGATCTGTATGTTAATAATTTTCGTATAACTAACCTTGCACAGATAGGTCAATTTTATTGGTTCTTTTGATGTCATAACCATCTGTCCCTGTACATACATATACGCCAGCATCCGTTACCTGTACGTTAGTGATTAACAAGTTAGGTTTCTTCAAACTCTCCATGGAAAAATGACTATTCAAAGCAAGTATTAATTGTCGGTTGTCCTTGTACCAATCAATCCCAGTAGCTTTACCGGAAGTGACTTCACAAATCAGTGAAACATTGGTTGACGTCTGGGCCGTGTAGGATGTATTTGGCGCGTTCAATATCAACGACTCTGAAGTTGAATTAAATTGACAGTTATATTTTTTTTTAAATGCACTTACCACACTTATATTATAAGTTATATGGTTTGCTACTGGCACCATAGGGATCTAGAGGGCAATTAAGTCAAATCCGTGGGGTGGAGCCGAAGCCCGTATCACCTATGGATTTTACTAACCCACTATGTATAGGTCTATCTAGGGTCAATAGCGAACTGTAAAACGAATTTATCACACAAAGGACTTTTCCTGTCAAGTTGTTTAAAGGGACATTAGCTGTCAAATTCATGTTCACCGATTTGACTCGAATTCTCATATTTGATTTATAACATACTTAAACGTTGATCCAAATTACAATAAGTCTGAAAGAAACAGTTAACAATGCATGTACTCGATAATATATATCAGAATTTTGTGTGTATTTTAGTCTAGACGCCATCTAATTAACTATCGAGATGACCTTCGAGGACTGCCGGTGTTCACATAACCCGATATAGATATAAACATAAATATAAATAGATAGCGACCTCGTGCAATTGGATTTTTCTAGGTCTGTTTGATTTCATGTTATAGGTTAAAACATAAGTTAATCATCGTTTTTACCTGTATAAGTATGATTTTTTGTGGATCGAATCAGTTAACGAAATGATTTACCTTTGTTTCACTTTCAATGTTGACATTCTTTTCCTTTTAATGGCTGAACACGACTAATACATGCGTAACCAATCTCTAGCTAATGGGTTAAATTGAAGGTCACATGAATACGGATCCAATGAGGTCTAATTATTTACTTGCAAGTGAATAATTCATCAGCGATGTTTCTTTGCTTATTTTCACAAAATTGAACCAAATTGGCTTCTAAAAGCGAATTATTATTTCATTATTTCACTTTTATTAATGATTGAACCAAACAAAATCATATTCTAATTTTTTCACCTCTCGTAGCTAATGCCCCTTAAAGGAATGACTAATATTTTGTCTGCACATAGCGGGTTATTAAAAGTGTGCACCACATTTTGAGGTTATTTCGAATAGACAGAAAAATTATTACAGTCATTCCTTATAATTCAATTCTAAATTCCGTTTTTAAGGAGTAAATCATGAAAAAGCGTTGATAGCGTCACTGTCACATGACAATATTATGTCTATGAGCTGATAGACAAAAAAGTTTCAGCCAATCAGAAGACGTTTCACACCCAATATTAAATATTATAAAAATAAACAATGAAATACAATACCAATAATAGTAGACGTGACGTCATGATACCCCTATGAAATCTACTGACCCTTACGAATCTATAGGGGTCACCATGTGACGGCTTTAAACCAAATCACAACGGTCACTAATTTACCCGAGGAGCGATATTATTTATCATAATCATCGTGTGTCTTCCTCTTAGATATAGTAGTTAAACTCATTAATTGATGAGTACTCATTACTTTGTATGCGTAGGTGCTGGTAATGTCTTTTTACAATGATTAAAATACAAAAGTCAAAAATACGGTACATACTGTACAGGTGGTGCAGGATAAAAACATGCCATCATCTACGCAATCAGTGTCTTAAAAGCTTCCATAGTGGAAGCTTTCACTGTTGCGTCCGGTAGTTTATTCCAGGCTATTATTGTTCAAGGAAAGAATGAATACTTGAAATAGGCGTTTCTTGAACTGAAGATGGTGTATGCCATGGAATGGTAGTGTCTTGGTGGTCTGTTTAGTGGGATCAGGTAGTTTTCTGTTGGAATTGCTAAGAGTCCATTTATAATTGTGTAGAATAAGAATAATCTGATGTTGACTCTTCGTTGGTATAGAGGTATCCATTAAAGCCTGTTTATTATGATGTTGACTCTTCGTTGGTATAGAGGTATCCAGTAAAGCCTGTTTATTATGATGTTGACTCTTCGTTGGTATAGAGGTATCCATTAAAGCCTGTTTATTATGATGTTGACTCTTCGTTGGTATAGAGGTATCCAGTAAAGCCTGTTTATTATGATGTTGACTCTTCGTTGGTATAGAGGTATCCAGTAAAGCCTGTTTATTATGATGTTGACTCTTCGTTGGTATTGAGGTATCCAGTAAAGCCTGTTTATTATGATGTTGACTCTTCGTTGGTATAGAGGTATCCAGTAAAGCCTGTTTATTCTGATGTTAACTCTTCGTTGGTATAGAGGTATCCAGTAAAGCCTGTTTATTATGATGTTGACTCTTCGTTGGTATAGAGGTATCCAGTAAAGCCTGTTTATTATGATGTTGACTCTTCGTTGGTATAGAGGTATCCAGTAAAGCCTGTTTATTATGATGTTGACTCTTCGTTGGTATAGAGGTATCCAGTAAAGCCTGTTTATTATGATGTTGACACTTCGTTGGTATAGAGGTATCCAGTAAAGCCTGTTTATTATGATGTTGACTCTTCGTTGGTATAGAGGTATCCAGTAAAGCCTGTTTATTATGATGTTGACTCTTCGTTGGTATAGAGGTATCCAGTAAAGCCTGTTTATTATGATGTTGACGTTGGTATAGAGGTATCCAGTAAAGCCTGTTTATTATGATGTTGACGTTGGTATAGAGGTATCCAGTAAAGCCTGTTTATTATGATGTTGACTCTTCGTTGGTATAGAGGTATCCAGTAAAGCCTGTTTATTATGATGTTGACTCTTCGTTGGTATAGAGGTATCCAGTAAAGCCTGTTTATTATGATGTTGACTCTTCGTTGGTATAGAGGTATCCAGTAAAGCCTGTTTATTATGATGTTGACGTTGGTATAGAGGTATCCAGTAAAGCCTGTTTATTATGATGTTGACTCTTCGTTGGTATAGAGGTATCCAGTAAAGCCTGTTTATTATGATGTTGACGTTGGTATAGAGGTATCCAGTAAAGCCTGTTTATTATGATGTTGACTCTTCGTTGGTATAGAGGTATCCAGTAAAGCCTGTTTATTATGATGTTGACTCTTCGTTGGTATAGAGGTATCCAGTAAAGCCTGTTTATTATGATGTTGACTCTTCGTTGGTATAGAGGTATCCAGTAAAGCTTGTTTATTATGATGTTGACTCTTCGTTGGTATAGAGGTATCCAGTAAAGCCTGTTTATTATGATGTTGACTCTTCGTTGGTATAGAGGTATCCAGTAAAGCCTGTTTATTATGATGTTGACTCTTCGTTGGTATAGAGGTATCCAGTAAAGCCTGTTTATTATGATGTTGACTCTTCGTTGGTATAGAGGTATCCAGTAAAGCCTGTTTATTATGCTGGTGACACTTGATTCGTTGCTGTAATCAATGTAGACGTATCGAGCTGCTCTTCTCTGTACTCTCTCTATTTTGTCGATATTATCCTGCGTATAGGGCTTCCATATAGCTGCGCTATATTCCACTCTCGGTCTCTTGTGCATTAACAGCATTGATCTTTGTTTGCTGGGGAGTTTTTTTAGATGTTTCTACTGAGCATCCCTTGTGTTTAGTTTGCACTGACTTCAATGTTGTTTATGTATAAGTATTTTGTGTCCTCTAGTTGTTTACGATGCATGTAATAAGGTACCTTAATCGGGCGTTTGGTTCGTGCACCACATAATGTCAAAACATTTGCTAACGTGTCGTTGGTGACGTATCGGATCGCCTTGTATAGGTGTCGAGTTTTGCCAAAGAAAGAACGGGAGTTCAAAGTATAAGTTACAGTAATAAATGTAAGCGCGGAGTGAAATGATTTACATAGAAGCGAACAATCTGTTTTTCTAAACATCGAACCATTAAACTATATTATTTGTCTTTGGCACTACTAAACTCTAGTATTATCTTGAATAAAATTAAACAATTGATATTGTTAAACAAGAATGCACACGCTGAAATGTCTCGCCTTCTTTACTAACCATTGATTTTATGTTGATAGTCCTAAATACAAAGCTTTACTACAAGTAACACATAACATGATCCAAGAAAATGAGGTCAAGGTCAGATAAACCAAACGAGAAATACATGTACACCTTAAAATCATTCAATAAACCAAACATAGTTGACCTATTGCTTATTGTTTCTAAAAAACAGTCTTAAACAAGAAAACTTAATATTGACCAATGAACCATGAAAATGAGGTCAAGGTCAGATGAACCATGCCAGACACATGTACACCTTACAATCAATTTAGGCATTAAATATAGTTGACCTATTGCTTATAGTATCTAGGAAACAAACTAAACCATGAAAACTTAACATTGACTAATGAACCATGAAAATGAGGTCAATGTCAGATGATACCTGCCAGACAGACATATACACCTTACAATCCTTCCATACATCAAATATAGTTGATCTATTGCTTATAGTTGAAGAATAACAGACCAAAACACAAAAACTTAACACTGAGAAACGAACCGTGAAAATGAGGTCAAGGTCAAATAAAACATGTGAGACTGACATGTAAATCATAAAATATTTGCATACACCATTTATAGTTGACCTATTGCATATAGCATTAGAAAAAAAGACCAAAACTCAAAAACTTAACTTTGACCTAAACCATGAAAATGAGGTCAAGGTCAGATGACACCTACCAGTTGGACATGTACACCTTACAATCATTCCATATACCAAATATAGTAGACCTACTGCTTATAGTATCTCATATATGGACTTGACCACGAAAACTAAACCTTGTTCACTGATCCATGAAATGAGGTCGAGGTCAAATGAAAATTGTCTGACCGGCATGAAGACCTTGCAAGGTACGCACATACTAAATATAGTTATCCTATTACTCATAATAAGAAAGAAATTAACATTACAAAAAATGTTGACTTTTTTTTTCAAGTAGTCACTGAACCATGAAAATGAGGTCAAGGACAATGGACATATGACAGACGGACACTTCGTAACATAAGGCATCTATATACAAAGTATGAAGCATCCAGGTCTTCTAGCTTTTAAAATATAAAGCTTTTAAGAAGAGAGCTAATGCCGCCGCCGCCGCCGCCGGATCACTATCCATATGTCGAGCTTTCTGCGACAAAAGTCGCAGGCTCGACAAAAATCAATATGAACATTGTTTGTTGAAATGTTATAATTATAATAGCCAAGCATATCAGATAATTCCACAACAAAACCAGTGTGTTAAAAGTTTTTAATAAATCTAACGTAACAAATAACGCAATGTAACCGTAGACTCAATGTTATTGTCATGTCCCTAATTAATCGGTTCCTAATCCGACCTTACATTTCGGCAATTAGTCTTATAAAACGATAAGTTTTCGTTATTGTTACGTTTTCAACGTAATCGTAGCCAGTGCCTTATCAATAACAAAAAAGGGGCTGTCCTAAACAATCCATAATCCCTTCTGTTATTCATTTAATTATGTATTTACTCAAATCATTAATGTCAGAAGACAAAGTTTACCTAACTGTATTCTTCTATGATATGTAATTTGTTTAGATTTGCGATCAATTTCACAAAAGTTCTTACGAGTGAAATTACTTGTGTGTCATGCACATTTCTGTATAACTACAACGAATAATTTGAGTTTCAAGAGTTATTGTGAAAAAGAGCTATTGTACTTATAAAGCTATATATTCAAGCGAAGTGACACAAAGGTCAAGGTCACCTTATCTTAGTTTGACCTGTCAATCAAGAACTGACAAAAGAATTTCCTTCTTTGAAGTATAATTGCCAAGTTTAGACCTTCGTAAGGGGACGACCATTTGATTTTCTGGGGGGAATGGGCAGGAGTACATTTTGCAGATGGAATATTCATTCTCTATTCAATTTTTAACTGTTGCTGGTACGGTTTCGAATATCTAATTTTATCCTTGTTCACAACATTGTCCTGTATTTCGTATGACAGAATATGCATTGCCAACCGGCTGACTTTGGCAAAGTCATTTGTTTTCAGATATTATCAGGCCAGAATATTTATTTCCAATATCCTCAGGACAAATTCCAAAGAGCTATAGGGTATACTGATTGGCTGAAATTTTCATAGCACTCATTGACAGGTCTATTTAAAATATGAAAGTTGGAATTACTTGTATCAACTTTATGGTTTGAATACATGATTATTGAATATTCCAAATTATTCCCATGGCCACTGGCGGACTGAAATTTGACATTTCTTTCAATGCAATTACTGAAAACAGAAGGACAAAAAGGTCTGATCCCGTAAGGTTTCGTCGATATAATTGGCGATCATTTAAATGTAAAAATGTGTTCCATTCCTCCGAATTGAATACATTAAGACCCCCTTTTCCAAAAAAAAAAGTAATAAATTAAAACATCATCAACCCAATAAAAAAATGCCGTGAACTACAATATCCTTACCATCTTTACAAAAGACTAAACAGGCACCAAAAAGTTATAATTTTTATCTTGTTACACGTGAACGGAAAAACAATATCTGACGAGATATACCTAAAAATATGATTGAAGTTTTTAAACATAGTAACGCCTCCCCAACTCCGATGATATCCAATCATATGGCTAAACAGAAATGTACCTTTTATTCAGATAACCAAGTCATATCGCTATTAACGATCCAATTCCAATACAGGAATTAAGCATGGTTAAATTGATTAGTGTCGCTGTATTTTGAGATCGCCCCTTTTCTTTACCTGTAATTCGTAGTCTAATTCAGAGTCAGGCAGTTATTGTAAATATCTAATATGAACCCTGCTTTGTACTAAATTAGCGCAATGAGCAAAATTTGAAACGTGCTACTAATTCACAAGATAACACTCCGCATGAAAACGTTTCACCCTAACGGACACAAATATGATTAGTCAGTGTAACGGAATTTAATACCTTCTGTCTATGAAGAAATAACATACAAAATGTGGTGCACACTGAATAACTCGTGTAGCGGGTTATTCAAAAGTATGCACCACATTTTTGTGGTTATTTCGAATAGACAGAAAAAATATTACAGTAATTCCTTATAATTTAATTCCATTTTTTAATGAGTAAGTCATGAAAAAACGTTGATGACGTCACGGTCACATGACAAAATTATGTCTCTGAGCTGATAGACAAAAAACTTTCAGCCAATTAGAAGACGTTTTACATCTATAAATAAATTATTGATGCACTAGTTATACTTACTATATATTGTTATAAATATAGTCCTGGTTAGTGGATTTTGTGTGACTTTGTTGTCAACCCGACATTCGTAAACAGCAAACATGTCATCTTTAGTAGCTGTAAATGTATAGGTATTTGTCGTTGTGCTGCCCACAGTCGAGTAATTCGATGATTTTTTTTCTTTGCCTCTAAACCACATGATACTAGGTGCAGGAGAACCAAGAGTGGAGCTACAAGTCAATGTGACAGTCTCACCAATAGCAACTCTGTTTTTTGACGCAGTGATAACAGGCTCGCTGGGTGGTACTGAAAAAAAAACAATAGTTTGCAAAACGATATGCCGATAATCATGTACATGTGGTGTAGAATAGTACCATGTATATAAATCGTCAAGAAATGTACCATAAAATCGTTATGAAATAAGCACTTTACTTTAAAAAAAAAATTTATAATACCGGTATATTTAAGGATAACAAAAGCACAAGTGCAAACATAACATTAAATAATTTCGTATCGAAAAAAACAAAACTTGTTGCACGCTTGCAGCTACAGAAATCACCCTATAAGATTATCGGCAGTTGTACTTCGGAGAAAATTCCATACAGTAACAACATAGTGTACAGGAAGAAACGTCACGATCGTTTACAATGCGTAGAATACTAGATCCAAATAGACATAGAGATTTAAACAAACATTGTTGTAAAAGTTTTAGTAATGAAAATATTTCACTAATCTAAATATAAAACGTTAATTACTATAGGCACGAGCATATATAACCAATTGAGAAATGTACACGAAAAGGTATCAACGGAACACCAAGGAATAAAAATCTGACACTGGGAAAAAAGTCTTCCTTCTCTTATGAATTTTGTTATGTCTATAAAAATTTCAATATCAAGGTTTAAACAAGAGTGCACACGCTGAAATGTCTCGCCTTCTTTACTAATTATTGATATTATGTTGATGGTCCTAAATATAAAGCTTTATTACAAATGTCACATAAACTTAACATTAACCAAGTAAACTAAACATTGACCAATGAACCATGAAAATGAGGTCAAGGTCAGATGAACCATGCTAGGCAGGCATGTACAGCTAACAATTCTTCCATACAACAAATATAGTTGACCTATTGCTTATAGTTTAAGAAAAACAGACCAAAACACAAAAACTTAACACTGAGCAATGAACCTTGAAAATGAGGTCAAGGTCAAATAAAACATGCCAGACTGACATATAGATCATAAAATATTTCCATACACCAAATATAGTTGAACTATTGCATATAGTATTAGAAAAAAAGACCAAAACTCAAAAACTTACTTTTGACCACTGAACCATGAAAATGAGGTCAAGGTCAGATGACACCTGCCAGCTAGACATGTACACCTTACAATCATTCCATACACCAAATATAGTAGACCTATTGCATACAGTATAAGAAAAACAGACCAAAACACAAAAACTTAACTATAACCACTGAACCATGAAAATGAGGTCAAGGTCAGATGACACCTGCCAGTTGGACATGTACACCTTACAGTCCTTCCATACACCGAATATACTAGACCTATTGCTTATAGTATCTGAGATATGGACTTGACTACCAAAACTTAACCTTGTTCACTGATCCATGAAAAGAGGTCGAGGTCAAGTGAAAACTGTCTAATGGGCATGAGGACCTTGCAAGGTACGCACATACCAAATATAGTTATCCTTTTACTTATAATAAGAGAGAATTTAACATTACAAAAAATCTTAACTTTTTTTTCAAGTAGTCACTGAACCATGAAGATGAGGTCAAGGACATTGGACATGTGACTGACGGAAACTTCGTAACATGAGGCATCCATATACAAAGTATGAAGCATCCTGATCTTCCACCTTCTAAAATATAAAGCTTTTAAGAAGTTAGCTAACGCCGCCGCCGCCGCCGCCGGATCACTATCCCTATGTCGAGCTTTCTGCGACAAAAAGTCGCAGGCTCGACAAAAAGGGCAGTGGTCGATCATTCACAAAAACGATTGGTTCAGTAAGAGTAAGTTCGGGGAGATAAAGAGGTCGGGCCAATTTCCTTTAGTAAAAAACTAAATAGGGGCATTTACAAGAAGTCTTCCAATATTTACTACACTTCAAAGTAGGATGGTACAATAGCAGTGCAGTAACCCTACAGAATAACGGCTGTATAAACACATCAGAAGAACATAAATATTGGTGTTGAACATTTACTGGCTGCAGATATAAAACGAAAGTTATAACGTTTCCAATGAAATTTAAGAAGAGATATAATGGGAACCTTGCGATGTCCATAGTTCTATTCGTCTAAAATGAATTAAGGCTAATTTAAAAGCAATAAATACAATACTCCATAGTGTACAAGAAGGATAAGTTTCTTTTGAAATCTTGTTTTTAACTTAAATACAATAAGTAACTTTGATGCTGAACTAGAAAAGATACGGAGCTTTACCTTTACCTTGGGCAATCACGGCTGGGAAAATTAGCACTTCCCTTTTGTCTATATATATATGCTATGTATGTCAATGACATTGAAATAGAATTAATAAAACAGTGTTGTTAATCATATGAAATGAGGATGCTCAATCTTTATTTATTATAAAAGTATGCTGACGATACTGTCATTTTCATCGAAAATGTAAATGACCTTAAAAAAATGATAGATGTGTTCAAATGTGTTCTGAAGGATAAAATTTGCATATAAATATGTTAAAAACTGAGATGGCCGTATTTAGAAACTGAGGTGCTATCAAACCAGAAGAAAAATGGTTTATTAATGGAGAGAATATTGAGTTATGTGATGAATTTATATATCTGGGTATGCTGTTAAATTATAATGGTATTTTTACTAATACTCAGAAAATGCTGTCAAATCAAGGTAAAAAAGCTGTTTTAAGTTTATTTAGTAAAATTCAAGAAGACTATTTCAATACAGAGACACTACTTTTTTTTATTTGATACATATCTTTCAAGCATAGTGAATTATGGTAATGAAGTGTGGGGGTATCATAAAGCAATTGACATTGAAACTCTTCATTATATTTTTAAAAGGGGATTTTGAAAGTATAAAAGAGTACTACAAATTACATGGTGTATTTTGAACTAGGTAGAGTTCCATTGTATGTGCAGAGGTACTGTAAAATGATGAACTATTGGTGCAAATTGTTAAAAACTGACAATTGTATTTTGAAACAAAAGTGCACACGCTGAAATGTCTCGCCTACTTTACTAAACATTGATTTTATGTAGCTAGTCCTAAATATAAAGCTTTACTACAAGTATCCCATAAACTAAACATGATCCTAGAAAGTGAGGTCAAGGTCAGATAAACTAAACCGTAAATACATGTACACCTTACAATCATCAATACACCAAATATAGTTGACCTATTGCATATAGTTTCTTGGAAACTAACTTCATTCCATACACCAAATATAGTAGACCTATTACTTATTTTATCTGAGATACGGACTTGACCACGAAAACTTAACCTTGTTCACTGATCCATGAAATGAGGTCGAGGTCAGATGTGAACTGTCTGACAGGCACGAGGGCCTTGCAAGTTACGCACATACTAAATATAGTTATCCTATTACTCATAATAAGAGAGATTAACATTACAAAATATCAACTTATTTTTCAAGTAGTCACTGAACCATGAAAATGAGGTCAAGGACAATGGACATATGACAGACGGAAACTTCATAACATAAGGCATCTATATACAAAGTATGAATCATCCAGGTCTTCTACCTTCTAAAATATAAAGCTTTTAAGTAGTTAGTCAACGCCGCCGCCGCCGGATCAGTGATAGTGATTCACTATCCCTGTCGAGCTTTCTGCGACAGAAGTCGCAGTCTCGACAAAAAATTGTTATGCAGAAATGCTGGAGGCTAGCTATGTAAGAAGTAAAAATAAATTGAATTGGTCATGTAAAATAAGAGATTTATTATGTAATTATAGCTTAAGTAATGTATGGTTGACAAAATGTTTTAAATGTAGATGGTTTACAACTTTATAGTTGACTGCAAACAGCGTGTTACTGATAGATTTATTTCTGAAGCAATGTCATTTTTTGAGGAGTCTTCTAAATGTCAGTTTTACAAATACATATATGACAGTCATGGATTTCAGTTTTATCTTAGTAGACCTGTTAGTTTTAGATATAAACCATTAATAAGCAAGTACCGTTTACATGCACATAACTTGAACATTGAAACTGGAAGGTTTTTAAATATAAACAGAAACGCTAGAATATGTAATATGTGCAACTCTAATTCTGTTGAGGATGAATATCATTTTATTTTGAATGCATTAGATATAACGATATTCGTATGAAGTAAAACCTTATTATTGGAGAAATCCATCAGTATTTAAACTTATACAATTGTTATTTGTTCGTAATATAAAAGAACTAAATAATTTTGGGAAGCATATATTTCCGAAAAAAATCGTAATTGTTTTGGTGTGTATCATACTTCAAGATTGTTAAATTATATTATCATATACTTAGAGCAAGTAACTTATAATTTTTACAGTATGATAATAGCAAAAAAAAATACGTAAATTCCATATGTTCCCGTAATAGTGCTTAGCGGGCTAATATGAAAACTTTATCAACTGCTTCCGGTTACATGTATTATCGCATGCCTTTCCGTAACGTTATCGCATGGCAATTCAACGTCATTCGGCAAATTTAGGAAAATACACCTTAATTTAAGGTGTATTTTCCTAAATTTGCCGAATAATGATGGTACGCTTTCAGTGAAAAAATACAGTAGGATAGAAAATAAATATATGAGGAAACAGGAAAATATATTTTGAGTAATGCAAAACAAATGATACAATAAAATGCATTTTTTTTAAGTTTTAAAAATAGTTATTGTATGTATTTCTTCTGCTGAAGTATATGATAAGAAGATCATTACATGTCATTTTTCATATCAGAATCTTCATCGGCCCTCGTTCATGATATCATCCCTCGAGCCTTTCGGCTCTTGGGCTGGTGTCATGACTTAGGGCCGATAAAGGATCTGATATGAAAAATGCCATGTAATAATCTAAACTTAATATCATGCTCCTAGATTTGTTTTAAATTGTATGAATTGTATTAATGAATTACTATATTGTACTATGTGATGTTTACTATATTTAATGTAAATTGATACCAATAAACTGTATTGCTTTCGGAATAAAGAATATATTGATAATATCATATGGCTTTTTCAATATCACACCTGTATCAACCCGAGACACCAATATAATCCCAAAGGGCTTTGTTCTAGGGATTATATTGGTTGAGGGTTGATACGGTGTGTGATATTGAAAAAGCCATATCATATACACTTTATAATATACATGTACCTCAAGTGCAGCTAATCTCTCATGTATTTTTCACGAGACACGACGTAATACATATTAGCGGTTTGATAAAGCTTTTGTAATCGTGACTGAAAGGTGACTGTATTTACCACTAAGTGTATAATAAATATATGTATTACCTTGGGCAATCACGGATAGGGCAGTTAGCACTTACCTTAACCTTGGGCAATCACGACTTTGGGCAGTTAGCGCTTACCTTTACTTTGGGCAACCACGGCTTGGGTCAGTTAGCACTTACCTGTACTTTGGACAATCACGGTTGGGACAAGTAATAATGTTAAGCATATCAACAGCTTGTTCACTCCATGGTCTAGTTTCAGATTCATTCTCAAAGAAAGATGCTTGCTGAAAAATGATCGATAAATATGCAAACTTTACTATTCAGTAAAATTATGTTTAATGAAGTTAACTAAAACCATATATAAGAAAATATTTTGTTTTTATATTTCTATTTTGAAAAAAATACTATACACACACACACACCTTGAAGTATTAAAAACAAAAACAAAACTAATTACTGTAAATTCAGAAATTATTGCGAGGTTTTTATTAATGCGAATAATGCGACTGGATGAGTAACGCAATAATAAGAACTCGCATTCTTATATCTGATACATATAACTGTATGCAGATTTTTTCGAAATCGCAATAGATTATCTCGCATTTTAAATAGTCCATTCTACAAAATCCGCAATAATAAATGCATGCAATAATTTCTGAATTTACAAATAAAAACAAAATTATTGTGACAGGTATTTTGACATAAATTTTGGACGGACATAGATTACGTTACCATCAGATTACATCCCATTGTTTTCTGTCATTTAACACATAGCGGTAAAACAAATATTAGTAAAACTGTGTTGTCTCCCTTTCCGTCCCTCACTTCAATAATTCTAGGCAAACAAATTTATTGTCAAAGAAAGTCTGTCTCCATAAGGAAGCATAAAGCACTAAATCGACCAGTAAAACAAATACCTCTCGTGTTTTAAGACAAACCTGTGCAACTGGAAAAGTATTAAGGCATGGCATGAATTAGATAAGATTCCGCGGACCCCTGTGTCTCGTCTGTGATTGCTGCTTGGTTTTTGTATAAAAAATGTAACCCGAGTTAATGTTAATTGCAAAGATAAACGAATTCAACTTATCAGTAAAATATGGACAAATAGACATTAAATATTAAGACTTTTGTAATACTTTAGACTATCGTAATGTAAACTGAAAAAAAATGAAGTCCGTTTATCAGTAAATGGATGAATGAAAAAACAAGTCTTCAAAATTTTGCAACATAAAATATTGTTCTCCATGAAATATTGTCCGTCCGACAAAATTTCATAAAAAATATTGTCCGCGGAAACTATTTCATAATGAAATACTGTCCAGGACAATATTTCATTATGAAATAGTGTCCTTGTCCATGAAATTTTGTCACCTCATTTTGGACAATATTTCACTATGAAATAGTGTCCATGGCAATATTTCACTATGCAATACTGTCTGACATTATTTCACTGTGAAATTCTGTCCATGACAATACTTCACTGTGAAATTCTGTCCATGACAATTTTTCACTGTGAAATGCTGTTCATGAAAATATTTCTTAATCAAATTGTTACAAAATTAAAAACAGTACACTTGAGTATGCAGCATGCACATTTTTAGATTTATAGCCGAAATTATTTTGTAAAGTGAGTATTTTGTATTTCAAACTAATATTTAGTTAAACATAAAGCTAGTTTCATTTTTGCATGGATACTTTATAAATGGTTAATAGATTAAAGAATTGTTTAATGTATGTTCCAGTGTACTGCATACTGTATGAATATATAAAGTTATGTACTGACAATCACTAATTTGTGTTCAAATACTAGATTGACAAATCTTTTTGCAACAGCGTTTTGAAGGTACAGGAGCAACTCAAATATTAATGTGTTTATTTGTTATTATCAATTAAAAAAAACACTTTAATGATATCATTATTCAACATGGTATATGTTGATAACCTCTCCTTCATGAGACAAAATTTCATGACAATTTGTCTATGAAATAGTGTCTCAATAAACACAAAACATAACCTCCCTTTAACAGGACGAAATTTCATAGTATTCATTTGTGAAATATTGTCTATATACAGACAAAATTTCACAATGGAAATTTGTCCTTCTCATGAGGACAATATTTCATGATACATAGTCATGAAATATTGTCTTAAGGGGCAATATTTCATAGGACAAAACTTTGCTTTACAATTTAACCTTGTATACTGGCTATTGTTCATAAAAAAAAGCTTGTTCTAGTGTTATAACATGCCATGAAGGCTTGACAAGTTATTGTAGTTTAAAAAACTTTAGCAACAGATTGAACCTAAATGTTGATGACGAAAACGACGCCCATGACGGAACGTAGGATCGCAATGACGTGTTAGGCTCGACAAAAATGTCATTTCAGTAACGAAACACTTGCTTCTTGGCAAATAAATGGCTTTTACGAGTTGCGAAAATTTTAACATTCACGAAATGACAGGAGTTGCTCTCAAATAATATTGTCTAATCTAATGGTGAAATAAAAGATTTTGTTTACATTAACTGATAAATAATATATTATCCAAAAATTAACCAATGTTAGCGGCTAGCACATATTTACAAATTCTTGTCCAATCAAATTGCTTGAATTTGCCTTCTAATTTTCATAGTACATACTTTTTCCGTGTTCTAAGTAACTACGCATGAATGACCACAAGAATAGAATTTCATTGCATCGTAATCAAGATATTAAAACAAAAATTGCCACTGGCTATTTTGAAATAAAATGCTGTGTTCCAAATTAAATAAAATAGTTTGTAATTCGTATTCACATTGATTTTTAAATATTCTATCAAAATCTTATTAAAATCTCTAAAAAATGTTTTTGACAACTGCAATTTTCTTTCATTTAAATAAAGAGTAACAAATATGGTTCTTTATACCTTGATTATAGTACATCGCTATCTTAAAATTGTAATAATTTATCATCCATGCAATGACTTTGTACATAAATAAAGTGTGTACTATGAAACATTGTGAAGGGAAATTAAGGCAACTTGGTGATGATTTTTTTTTTAACTTTCTTGGGGAAATTGGTCTATTTTGTCATGAATTGATTGATTGATTATTGGTTGCTTAACGTCCAGAGGCAACTATTTCATGCATGTCATAAACTGAAAAATCGTTATAATGTCTGAAGAGAAAGTACTACCTATATATATACATATTCTGATAAAACTTAGTTTTTACTTTGAAAATTTAAAAAAAAAACAAAAAAAAAAACTATAATCTCTGATCTATTGGTAGTTGCTTTTTAATGCTATCCGTTAAACCATATATGGGGACAAACTATCTATATGTTTTAAATTTATTACAGCTTTAGTTTTACTGTGAAATGGAAAAATGTTTTCAAAACATGTAAAGCTTCCACTGCAATTTAATTATTGCCTGCTTTTGGTCAATTCATTTTGTCATCTTACCATGTAAAGAAGTACATTTATAGTAAAACACCGCTTTATATCAATAAACATATTACTTACACCAGCAGCTACCATCTTTTCATTCTGAAGTCAAGGGCCTTTTGAAATCACATATCTTACAATGATACTAGTGAGTAGATTTACAAAACATAGAATTCGTAAATGAGCTCCGTTTTACAAACACCTTTGATACAAGTAGTCAGCCAAAATAAACTATCAAAAGACCAATTAAAAGATTACTTGAGTTGTAAATATGTGCTAAATTGGATAGTCTATGAAAAGGTATATACTATGAAATTAAGAGCTCGGGGCAAGCCCCTCGCTCTAAATTTCATAGTATATACCTTTTCATAGACTAACCTAGACTTAGTGTTTACCTTCTGGTGTTACTACGGGTCACTTTGACTTTAACTGATTGACAGGTGAATGAAATCGTTTTATTATATATATATATATCGGATGTGAAAATTGCTCACGGAACGGGGATTTCTTTGTATTGAGCATGTCATTTCACATGATAACTGTTCACAAATATTGAGTCCACATAAAACAAAAAACAATGACGGCCTCACTTTATAAACTTAGAATTGGAAAATACTTCCAACAGCAAACAGGGGAAGAATGATTGTATTTAATATTGAAAAACCATTTAAATGACACATATTTCGGTTTATGTTCATCAGGCAATATATCGGTTTATTTTCATCAGGCAATCTTGTTGCATAATATTCTGCTTTGTTTGTTTATCTTTTTATTTATTTATTCGTTTATTAAGTTTGTAGCAAATTAATTCTCCCTCGGTACTTCGTTTTTTTTTATTGATCCTCAGATTTCCGTGCAATATATTTTAAACTAGAAGACCGGAAAACGTTACAGACCAGGGTTTTTATTTTGGCAATTATATTCACGTAAAAAGGTCTGTTGGTATCCTTTTTGTGTATTTTCGCGTACTCAAACCCTGGTCTGTTATATATTTCTGGTCCATCCGTCCGTTATTCTATGCTGAATCAGGTTAAATTTAAATTCCATTTAGCCATAATATGCGTGATTGTATAATTTCGATGAAGAATGTAGTGCTTATAGCACAGAAGGGTAGTTCAAAATTCCGAGATTGCCCGAGGATACGAATTCCGAGGACAGGCTGTCGGACCGTGTAGCATTTTCCAACTAGAACGACTTTACAGACACATTCTGATGTTACAGTTTCGTCTAGGTGATGGAATAATTTTACGTTTGAGTTGTCTTCCCTTTATCAGACAAAAAAATGCGTCTGACCGGTAAGACGCTTTTCAAAACATTAATATTCGATCGAAAACACGAGGAAGCTGAAGAATACGGAATTGGTGGATTCGATCAGATAGAGGCCAAAAAGAGGGGTTAAAATCGCTTTCTTTTAATGAGTATCTTTGAAAAAATATTCACCTTTTGACTTTGTATATCGATATAATCAGATAGCACCTTTTTATGCCAGATAATTTCAAGCAGAAACCAGGCGAGGTAAATAACCATTTACTTTAGATATCAAAATATTATAAATTTAACGATGGGGTTTGCCTACCATCAAAATCCCCAAAATTTTGTATCTTTCTGCAACATGAAATGCATTTAACCTTTATATATTATATATATAGTAGATTAACAATCAAACAATTTAGTAGATGCTTGGCCTTAAAACTTTTCCAACTGCACAGACTTGTCTATATCCTGTGTAATGTTTTAGTGTAAGCCATGTTTGTAAATTTGGTATGATGAACCTTCAAGCATGGCAGGAACTAGATAAATAAAATTTCAGTGCATTTAATTTTTTCAAAAAAATTAAAACTTTTCTGGATTTTGAGATTCTTTTCTTATCGTCCCCACAAATTTGCAAAAATTAATTAAGTTTGGAAACATGTTTGAGACATCCCGTCATGTAATAATAGTAGCGAGCTGTATTGATTGATATGGGTCCGTAAGGAGCTACATAAATGGTTAATGCATAGACATTTTACATGTACCACTCCTAACGTTGTCTAGTTTGCCTCCACCCTCCTTTTCAAAATCCAATATCTCCATCTGATATAATCGTACATTTCTAAGGCATTTTCTGTAGCTATATTATTTAAACTGAACATGCAAATACATGGTCTTGTACTGTTTCATTATTAATCGAGTTAACAGCATTAGAGGCTTGCTACACTGAAATTCAAAATATGTCAGATTTAGGACCCCTTCTGTAGGCATTTATCTCGAAATGTTCAGTGTGTAATAATATCAAAACAGCAAAAATACTGAATAAAAAAGATGTGCCATTTTGTAAATACACTAAAGGGAAACGTCGTTCACAGAAATTATATTTATTTATTTATTTATTAATGAAATGCATATTTATACCCCGAGGGGTTGAAGGCATTTAAACAATACAATACAAATATATAAACAATGCAAAAATTATAAAATATTAAAACATCATATATACCGGTAGTAAAAAGAGTAATAATATCTATGCAGGTGTTGTTTTCACTCTCCTCAGTGCAAAAGACTTTTAATGAACGGAACAGTAAGCTGCATAATATTCAATGAAGATAGTAGTTGTAATCTGTGTGTATCATATAATTTCATAAATCCTGGATGAATATTATTTATGTCTTTTTTAATCTGTTTTCATAAAGATTTATTAATTTCACATGTTAAGAAAAAAATTTAAATGGGGTTCATCTTCAACCTCAGTAATATTACAATGTTTACAAATTCTATTTTCTCTTTGAATTCTTTTATATCTACCCCCTCTCTATTTCCAAGAAATGATCACTTACTCGCATTTTACACAATATTTTTTCGAATTTCAAAGTTATTTATAAGAATATTTTTATAATTCATATTTTGTCTTAATCTTACTGTACAAGGACATTTTACTTGTTTCATTGGTTGATTTTAATTTTTCAAAGCTATCTTTTGTTCTTTTTTACTATTTTTTGGGAATGAACTCTTCTCTTGTTTATAGTTTATTTCCTGTATTTTATTTATGTCTATTTTATTTGTGTTAGATATATTTTCTTCATATGAGAACCATTAAAATGTACCATTAGTGCTGAGCCATTTAGATAAACAGAAAGCATCATATAGTAAAGGGTTATTTTTCATCATTGGATATTTTTGCTAAGTATTTCAGTGATTGTACTTTAATAAAAACACCCATGGGATACTGGGCTAGTTCTGCACTAGCAGCTATATTAACAGCTTGTTTACTAAGCCCCAGTATATATTTGCAAAATCTTAAATGTGCCTTCTCCACGTGGCTACTATCAATCATAGCTAAAAGATCAAATTTACTCATGTCTTTATTTTGTGCTCGTCTATCAGCTCTTATTAATTTCTCATAAAAATCCACATATCAAATTTCAGAGTAATACACAAGAATGGGTTTAACTAGACATTTAAACAATTTTTTGTGTAGTTTTATAGACACATTTTCTAATGGAGAAAGATATTTAAAAATAGAAAACATAACTTTAGTACCTTTCTTGGCCAATTCAGTGTGTGATGAAGTTGAATTCCCAGACGCTACAATTATATTTCCAAGATATTTATATTTTAAAACCTTTTCTAGTTTGTCACTAGTTTAAATAAAAACTCGTAAGGGTTCCGCGAAACCCAGTGTCTCGCCTACTTTTGCTGTTGTCTATGTTTTCAGTGTGATAGGATAATAGATTTACAGTTAATGAAATAAAACGTTTGAAATGCATGAAAAAAGTTATGCTTGTAAAAAAGGAATACAGTATGCAATCAAATCTATAGATTTATAAAAGAGTTGAAACATAAATTTAAGTCCATTTATAAGTAATTATATACGGAAAAACTGGAAATAATTTTTTACAAAATTGTAAGGATAGTTTAAGAAAGTCATTAAAATTTTTAAAACTTTAACCACAGAGTGAATGTAATGTTAACTGGCAGAAAAACTAAGTCCATCTATAAGTAAAAAACGGATAAACAGGATTTTTATTTAAAAAATTTACTTCTGGATACTATTTTATGATCATAAACAAGCTTCTGTCAAAGTTTGGTAGAAATCCAGGATAGTTTAAGAAAGTTATTAAAATTTCAAAAACTTTAACCACAGAGTGAATATTTGTGGACGACGCCGACGACGACGACGGAATGTAGGATCGCTGTGACGTTGCGCACGATGTTGGTACCAATTCCATTTTGCTATAGATTAGCATAAAAATAAATACGTAGACTGGTCAGTTCGATAAAAATATAGTGATTTCTGATTGAATTCATTCCATTAGACTTGAAATTAAAGAAAAAAAAGGAACCGAAATTTAAAATACCAGGAATTATAACACTTAATTATCCCATTTTTAAGCAAAAACGTAATGTCCAACGTTTCATTTTGTGTGCAAAAGATCAGAGTTCCGTTTCTCTCCTACGGTATTTTTTCTCTGATCATCGTAAAACTTCACAATAATATTGCTATTGTTATAATTATTCGCGTGTTAAAGCAAAATCAATATCACTGAAACCGTAATCCGGAAAATGTTATTTTTGTAAACGGTCTGAAAAATGTCCAACCGTATGCAAAGTAAGTATATTTCGGGTTTGCGCATTTATACCGTGAAATTGAAAAAGCTGAGAGAAAAAATATTTATTATATTTTGAAAGTTTTTTTACTTTTCTCCTGGTTCATGATATTTTTTTGCCGGAAACCATGCGTATAGTTTCTATTGCAATGACTTCAAAAAGTATAGCCATCTTGTCCCAACGAAAAAAACGCTGTATTTTCTTTGAAATTGAGGTTTTAACCAGCTGTCTATCAAATAAGCATAGTTAGATCATAAAAAATAAAACTTGGCGGTAAAGGTTTTTCTGTTTTTCTTCTTAAACAATATTGTGTTTAATATTTTTTCGTTCTTTAGATCGTTTCAAAAAGTATAGCCGTTTTGTCCCAACGTTCGCAAAACGTAATTGATGTCATGCTCTGGTTTTTAATTTTATATCGTAATTATTTGTTTCCAGTTTAATTCGAATGAAAATAAATATACATGTATAAATTACAATACAACCAATGTATGAGAAAGGAATAGTTTAAGTTTAAATTCAAATGTTGACCAAATGAGATCGATATAAAAAAAATATCGGGATCTTAGGGTTTTTTTATAGCATATTTGCTTTATTTGAGGAACATTGTCTATCTGCAAGTTTTAAATCGTCAAAAGTAACATGTATATTTTTTTTGTTAATAAAATAAAATAGAGAAAACCCATTGCTGGCAATTATAACAAACAAAGGATATGCCACAAAAATACGGAAATGAGAAAATTTAAAACATGAGTCCCGAATGTTTAACTTCCTAAATATTTTGCGACAAAGAAAGCATCGGGAAATGATAAAATATAGAAAGGAAACGGAAACGTGAAGAAATGCAACAAAAGGAATAAATATGCAAAAAATAGGAGAATATGAATTCAAAATCTAATTTATATTAAAAATAAATCTGTGTAAATTTGGACATTATTGCATGGGATTCATTAATGCGAACTGCTGCCGAAAGGAAAATTATCAATTATGGCCTGGAAAGACTGACAACTCCTGTAAATGAATTTCATTAAAAAAATATCTATACGACCACTTTGAGTTTTATTTGTAAATTTATGCATTTTTTCAGACAAACCGAAATCGGTTACCAAATTCACAACAGTAAATTGACATCATCAATAATATGCTTGAACGCCTGAAACTTTCTTTGAAATCGTCGAAATCGCCTTATTTTGAGGAACGTCGTGAAACGCTAAGTAGTACCAACATCGTGCGCAACGTCTATGTCTCGCTTTTGCGACAAAAGTCGCAAGCTCGACAAAAATCATATTTATTACATAAAATATTCTTCTGTTGAAAGACCATTATTTTAGTTTGTGTATTTATTGTGAGCTGCCACTTATTACAATACATGTAAGAGTTTAGTTTATCTTATATAATTCTGTAGACCTTCAGGAGTTTCAGATAACAGAATGTCATCTGCGAACATAACGCAGTTCATTTACATTTTTTTGCAGCGTCACTGGTTTACAGTTTTCAAATATTTCTGCTAGGCCATTTATATATAAATTAAATAAGTTTGGATTCATGGCATCCCTTTGTTTCACTTCACTATCAATAGAGACATATTCAGATATATTCTACTTTTGACTTTATTGAAGCTTCAGTATTCGTATTCATATCTTTTATCAAATTATAAAATTTCATACCAATGTTTTCATTTTTTATTTATTTTCTAACTGCATTTAATAGAAAATATGGATTTTTGTTGCAAATTAAGTTAAGATTTCTACAATAAAAAAATCCAGACTTTATTACACAGACTTTCGTTATAAAATTTGAAACCTCGATTACTCACTTGTTTATCTATGTTGTGCTAGAATTGTTTACAAAGTCCTTAACAACCTTTACAATCCCAAAAATCTCATGCTGAGTCACTAAACTCGAGCGCTCCATAGAAGGTGTACTTGAATTGGTCCATATTTGTACTGGTTTTAACTAATACCTTTATTCAAAAAAACTTGTTTAAGGGAAATTATTGCTAGTATTGCATGCTGTAATCTCCCATCTATAAGGTACATAATTGTCAAATAAAAGAGTACATAGGGAAAGGTTGTGGATTTCTATAAAACTTCTATATGTTTAGCAATGAGACAACAAAGGGGCACTTAATCCTTAATCTTGGCTGCATAGCGATAATGACAAATCTAAAAATTATATACTTAAAAATCTGAAGCTAAATTTCGGTCACCTATTTTGGGAATGTTCCGCCTAGTCCTTGGAAAAATATAATTTCCCCAAAAATATCTATTTTCCACAACTATATCTTCAAGCACGCCGGTCTGCTCATTGTTATCTTTTCGTGAATATAACAATTTATATACAGTTAGTTATATCTATTCAGATTAAAATAAATAATGGAAAATATTTTTACAAAGTAGATTATCCGTTAAAAGATAACTATTTTTAAACAATTTTAATAATAGGTTGTCTCCAATTTTGAACATGTATGAGCGGTCTTCTCGATTTATTCACATTGATTGTTTACATGGGATCAAGGTCCGTTTGAATCTGCACAGGCGAAAACCCAGTTGAAATTAAACAAAAGAAATGGAACTGTTTATTAGAGAAGGTAAAAAAGGACAAGTTGGTAAATTTGAATTGTTTACATCTGTTTCTATGGGCTTTAAAAGTTTAATGAATGTGCATAATTTAGGATTTCATGCATCTTATATATGTGGTTTTACTTAAATTATGGTATGGAGCTTCGAGATATTTGTAAACTTTTAAATCATAGACAAATTTTCACAAAACAGTCGATTGTGGTAGGTGCAAATACATGTGGATCTTTTTTGTGCATAAGCATAAATTCCGCCGAATAAAATTCAAAAGAAAGATAATAGATTGATCTTTTTAAAACATTAATTTGCATCTCTGCCCCCGGCAACTGTTATTTGGGGAAAAAAAACCAAAATGGGCAATAATTTCATCGAAAAGAGAAAATCGAGTACACTTTTTTTATGTTCAGGCGTGTTTGAGTTGACTATTCTGTCTTGAAAATATATAAAAGAAAAATATTTGATACATCATCTCGCTTCAGATTCTATTATTTTTATATATTTAGGCTATAATTTGATATAATAACATTAAAAATTTACAGTACAGTCAAGTGAAATACCTGTCTAATGTGTCATAACAACAGAGTATGTGTGTTCGAATGTTTTTTTTTTTACTTAAAGTGCTTGAGGGCAGACTTTACATGTATAACATCAAAAACCCTTCATTTGTGTTTTTTATCAAGGGTAATTAGTCTTCAACCTCTGAAAATTTTTAGTCTGCCCTTCCACGAAATATTTAACTAGAATTTTTTTTAAAATATTTTTGATAATTGAACACAAATGCATAAAAGTACATTAAATGATGCTCAACAGCTAGTAGATACATTTGTCTTTTAAAATACAACTGGCATATAAGGATCGTAATGATGCTATGTGGATAAATTGATCGGGTTTCAAGAGCTCAATTGACAGCGCGTCGTCACTACAATGGCTTCTATTTTTACGATTATAAATTAGGTGGCGTAATGGGAAGATAATTTTGACGAAGTAGAATCTTCACTGTGCATAGTAACTCAATTTCCAAAGTTTTAATCTGCTGCATATTAATCGAATTTGTTGGTATTTTTTCTGTCTGAACGTCTCTGATCTAGCTGCATATATAGATAACTGACACGTTCTAGAGAGTTATACAGCCAGCAGAAAAAATAATTAAAGATTGTTCTCGAGGAATTTATTCGCATAGCAACGGTGTAAACCTCTACACAAACCTCATATAACATACTGTACTCGCCTGTTGCTATCATTAGGAGGAAAATGATAACAACCAAATATGGAAATATATTGTTTTTATTCTTAATTTGAATTTATAATAAATAGCGTCCTTGCTAAACGAGACAAACATTGAAAAGAGAACATTGTTAAGTGTTTTCAGGGGCGGACGTTTTTTTAAACAAGATATCCTGTTTGGTTTCACTACCAAGAATACGGACTACTTGTCAAATGAATGACATTTACCAGTCGCTAAGATTGAACATTTACAAAATGACCAAGGAGATGCTTGTAAATAACATTATCTTTTTGCATTGTGCATAATATTATATATATATGTATTTTTGATGTGGTTCCCCTCAATCTCTCGGAGTATAAATGTGCATGTCTTTAATAAATGTAAATAATATAATCTAATTATAAATTTGAAATATAAAAAAAAATATGTGCTTACCTTTTGTTGTTCTTAGTCACGTTAACTTTGGCAGACAAACACGTGAATGAAATCGTTTAACTATATATACTGGACGTGAAAATTGCTCACGGAACGGGGATTTTTTTGGTGGTCCTGTTTACATGATAACTGTTCACAAATTTCAGTCCAAATTTAGAAACCAAACAACAATAGAATCACTTTATAAACTATTTTCATTAAAAAAATTGCAAACACAATGTATTAGCTGCTTTATTTCATTTATTTTTTTTTTTATTTTCGAGTTCAGTTACCTCAGTTTTCTAAGCAATGAAACCTATATCCTGTTTGATCGTGTTTTTTTTTAAGTTTATTTTGACAATTGTATTGTCTATTTTGTTTTATAGATGCATTGCCTTTGATTGTCAGTTGGTATCTTCTTTGTGTATTTTCAAGTATTTTCAAGTACCCACTTGGCCTATTTTCTCAAAATATCACCGATTCAAACAATTTAATAAGATAATGGACTGAATACAATGCATGTAAGAATATTAAATTGATTTTTTGGCCCGCCCACTATAGCTGAGAAGCATCAGGTTTCATGTCCATCCGTTAGCCAGTATTGAATCAAGTTAAAGGTTTTGTTAAACGTAGTTTGTCATGAAGTTGTGATTTCATCTACATAGTTGTCTAATTGTGTGGCCCTCCTACGATAGTACGAGGCATCGTGTTTCCCGGTCCGTCCGCCCGTTAGCCCGTGCTGAATCAACTTAAAATATAGATTTAAGATAGTTTGAAATTAAGTTGTGGTCACATAAACTTGTTTAGTACATATACTCATTGTGATGTGAGCCTTTTAAAATAAATGCCAAATTAGTGATTTGACCCAGATTTCGAAGTTCCCTAAACATGGAAATGTGATAGTGTGAGCGGGGCATTATGTTTTATGGGTTTTATATTAATAATATATAATAATATATTTTATATAGTACTAGTCAAGCGCTTAACTTAATATCATTAGTATGTGGGCTTTTTATCAAATATTTTTTGCAGAATTTTTTATTGGAGAACACTGTATGTTGACATCTATATGTTATGTATTTTTTATGTCGGGTTGCTGTCATTGACGTATACCCACACCTCCTCGTATCCGCGATAAAGCATTTATGTACGAAGGCGGCATAAAGCAAACATCAATCAATATATCATTATATTCATAATAATTTAAACAAATGATATGCACGATTTAATAATTCCGAAGCAGAATGTAGAGGGGTCTGATAGTTTATGATTGCCTTTCCATAATCCAGAACAGACTGTTCGGTGTAATAGTATTCTCGGACAAGAGCGACTTAGCATCAAGTCACGTCTAGCTGATGGATCAATTTTATTCTTCGAATTGCCTTCCATTCATCAGAAAATAACCAAATATGTTTTGATCGTTAAAACGCTTTTCAAGAAATTGTATTCGAATACATGAGCAAGCTTATATGTAACAATTAATACAGCATTGACGGATTCAGAACCCTCGAAGAGTTTTCATAAATTTAGCGAGCATGTTAATTTTCCAATTTTGAGCATCAGATTTCACAACCCCATTCTGACAGTCGTTTCTTCTATAGTAAGGATCAGTTCAATGTTGATGTCAGTTTCAAACTAATTGTTTGTCCCGAGAGAAAAACGATGCACCAACTTTCAGCAAGAGATGAATATATTTTCATTAGATCAACAAAAAAAGCTTGTCCCAAGTGAAAAGAACACAGCACTCTCACAAGAGATGCCTTCCTTATTTTTGAGATTTTTTTAATCCACACAACCAACAGAGTAGGTAGCTTTCGAATGTTTATGAGACTTTTTCTTATACAATTATAGCCTTTGTATGAGGTCGATACGAGGTTATATTGACCTAAGAGAAGCATATTGACTATGGACGAAGTCCGAGGTCGATATGCTTCTCTAGGTCGATATAGCATAGTATTGACCTCAACCAAAGGCTACAATAGTTATATTAGTAATCACCAACTATTGCATGAACAATGTATAATTGGGGATTTCTAGTATGTATTTTTAGTAGCATGCTGTATGCCCAGTGCAATATACTGTTTTTGACCTACGAAAAGCTAAACACAACAGTATTAGCGTGCAAACTGAGTAAATGCAAATGTGCATGTGATCAAGTTTTAACGAATCACAAATCCTAAAAAATATTCGATTAATAATATATCTTTATATATACTGTTAGTTATGGGAAAAGAGATTCATGTTTGTGAGACATTGTACTTAAATGTACCACTTTCCTTTCATGGAGAAAGTTTCTCGAGTCTTTCCAATGTATTTTTCTCTCATCAAATATCAAAGTTAATCTTCTACAATGTTAGCAAACTGAATCTTATTTAAAGGGCTTAATCCACCAGTAGCGTAGCTTGACCCTTATTTTAAGGGCTAAATCCACCAGTAGCGTAGCTTGACCCTTATTTTAAGGGCTTAATCCACCAGTAGCTTGACCCTTATTTTAAGGGCTTAATCCACCAGTAGCTTGACCCTTATTTTAAGGGCTTAATCCACCAGTAGCTTGACCCTTATTTTAAGGCCTTAATCCACCAGTAGCGTAGCTTGACCCTTATTTTAAGGGATTAATCCACCAGTAGCTTGACCCTTATTTTAAGGGCTTAATCCACCAATAGCGTAGCTTGACCTTTATTTTAAGGGCTTAATCCACCAG